TGTATACATACGCTATAGTCATTTACAAAAGTTGGCCCATTATTCGTTCATCGCGTAGGTATCCCCATTGTTTGCAGCGCTGCGCAATAAAAAAAATGAAACAAACAAGAAACGCGATTATAATAAATACATGCATAGATCAGCATCGAGCTCCCGAACGTGTATAATCCGAGCGCCGAGCGAGCTTTAATTTCACGATCTAAAACCGCACTCGAGGTGCGCATTTCTTAGGTGTCAATATCGAGTTACGGAGGTCAAACTATGGCGGCGATCCACCGAGGAAATTGCAGCGCGTGCTAGAGCGGCTTATTATGCGATTATAAAATTCGAGCCGCGCCGAGCTCTGCATTATAATCATATTTAAATAGTAACTCGAGCGAGTCGCGTCGAGCTTAGGCTCGTTACAAACGCTGTCCGCTAAGCGAGGACAAAAAAGCCCCGCAGAATTCAATTTATCGTTTACCGAACTGTACTGTAGGCCGCATATAAAGTGTACGCGGGGGAGCATATTAGCAATATTTAAGTAAGCGCGCTGGAGTTGGCGGAACTGACCGTTCGAGACTCTATTAACGGAATCCGGAGGTATTCGGAGGGTCAGCTGGGAAAAGCTGCCGGAACTCGACGATGCACAATAAATGACTCGCATTAGAATTTCGCATAGTAAGAGTAAGAGATTAGAAGAGTAAGAGCCGATACGCGACGAACCGATGGTTTTTCGAATCGATTGGGGATTGATTTAGTTATATTCTCGTGTCCGGCCGTCGTTGGCAGGATTATAATATTTTGCGTGCAGCGAGATCGGCTGCATTAGCCGAGCTCCGGTACTCAGTGTCGCACGGCTCGAATCGTCCACTCGCCGTACAGAGCGTGTAAAAGTGCGACTCGGGACGTATATACTTGGGACGGCGGCCGAGGACTCGGCTAATGAAGGCGCTCGCTCGCGTATACACGGGATATCTCGCACACGTGGGAGCAGCAGCCGTATATACGTTTGCTCGACCATTAGAGCCGCGCACGAGAAAATAATAGCCACTCACTGCGCGCCTAGACTTTGCTTTACTCTGTATAGAGTACGTAACGTAATGCATGTGTATGTGCTCGATAAACGCACTCGTCACTCGGACATGTCATTTATACGGCTGCGCAACGGCTCCGCTACTACTACTCGTTCCTAAGCCTTGACTTTCCCATGCGCGTATGGATCTTTATGGATCGAAAAATCTCCAACGATCGACATGGATATTTTTCACGTGGAAGCGCGAGATTAGGTCGTAGCGAGATTTCTAGATAGCTTCTCGCTGCACAACTGAGTCAGACACGAATAATTGTCTCTTTTCGAATTCGATCCGGCTAGCCCTGCCTAAAGCTGCTATCGGAGCGCGAGTCGATACAAGCAACGATAGATCCAACCGTCCGCAGGACTGTATAGCTATGGGAAGTGCATGGTAGCGAATGTTTACGTCGTCGTGGCGAGCGAGTCGTTCGACTGGCATTTTTTGCGCGACCAGCTCGCGATGACTGGTTTAGTTGTCTTTTCCTCGCGCGCTGGCTCATAGCCGCGCCGTAACGCATCGGGACGATCGGCGGCTGTATTCCCACACGTCGAGTGTACCGCGCAAAAGCTTGGCAAAGAATTATTGATCGAGCATTTCGATCGATCGTATACGAGCCTCGAGTAAACGCTAATCCGGTCAGTAGGAAATTTCGGGCGAGCTCGAGTTGAATCATAGCCACGCGCGATTCCTGCGGTGGATAAAAATGAGCGACAAAAAAAGCGACGGGCCGCGCGTCCTCGAGTTCGTAGCTGCGAAACGCGCGTGCACATTTGCTTACGGACTCGCCGAGATATAATGCATCTAAAAATATACTTGTCCCAGCTGGCAGCTCGCAAACTGCAGCTCTCGCGCGTGTAAATGTACGCGCATTCGTACTCTCTTTTTGCTTTACATTTATATTGCCTTGGTTTGCATTCGTTTCTCGGATCGTCAAGGGTATGCGTTATTATGGCGACGCCGGCCGCAGCAGCAAATATACACAGGCCAAGCATAGGTGCAGGCTTACAGATCTCCCTTTCCAAAGTGCCTCGAGTCGAGCTCCGTATATTATGCTCGGCGTATACGTATATTATGCATACGCGACGCGAAGCAAATAAAAAGAGCTTAAGAGCTCGGCTGCGAAACGTGCGCTCGAGTCACACGTATCGCACACGTTCGATGCAGCGCGTCAAGCTCTCTGTGCAGCACGAGTCGCTTACTTGTGCCCATATCGTAGGTATACGAGAGAGAGAAGGGGAATAGTGGCCCGCTTTGCACAAATATTCCGCGCACGACGTCGACTCCGCGCGATCCAGCCGCGGAATAGCCTCAAAGCTCGGCCAACGCGCAGAGGCTTTGTAACGGCATATTAGTGTGTCAACTCGTAGCACACATATTGTTGCGAGTCGAGTGCAGACTGCAGACGCTCCGACTGTGTAGCCTCCTTTTAACGCTCGTACTCGCAAGCACGCCGCAGTGCCTTTTATAAAGAATAGTATAATTCTCGACGCGGGTCCTTTATATATATTATAACGCCAAAGAAATTTTTTCGCTCGAAATACTTTTCCCTTTGACCTCGGCCGATCTCTCGGCGCCTCCGCTGCACTCGTGCGAGAGAGAGAGAGAAAGACATTGCATCACGTATGGGATGTTTGCAATCGACATTGGCTCTCGGTTCTCTTGCATCTCCGCGCGCTATGCCATAAACTCGCTCGCGCGCGCATACGTATGGCTAAATTAAAGGCAGATAATTCGAGCAATTCTATTGTGTGTGGGATATTGCAGCGCGCTGTATAATAAACTTTTATACAACATCAATTAAGTAGTTGGTACAGGACCTCTTTCGCTCGAGTCGCTGTGTATATAGCACGTACATCGCAAGCGCCAGTATACATTATTAATACACTTTCGTTCTTGTTTTATAACGTCGCGTCGAGTCTCGCGCGCGCCTCGTTCGCGCATCCAAATCTATCGCGAGACTCGAGAGATAGAGGCAATTTGCTGATGAAGATCTAGACATTAGCGCTCTGCACAATGCGCGCGTAAAGCGACTTGTTATTTCGTGACTTTCTGTGCCTTTTATTTGCGCACATCTATCTCTCTCTCTCTCTCTCTCTCTGTCTCTCTATCTTTCACTCTTAATGGAGATGACAATCGAATGAGCCCGCGCGCGCGTGTGCGAGTACGTGTACGCGCGGTGGCACTTTCACGATTGTTTGCGAACCTTCGAGCTCGCACGGACGCAAATACTCGAAACCTATGCTTAATGCAGACGCGCCGCTCACACTTTCGATTTTTTACTTTTATGGTACGATTATTCGCCTGCCGCGCCAGAGGACTGATTGTGAAAAAAGGCCAAGGAATAAAAAAGTCGCGCGAATAATATCGCGAGCGAAAGTACCTTGTATAATGTAGTGTGCATACACTGTAGCGCGAGAGCCTGACGAGTGCATGCGGCTATATTATATATACTCGCGAGCGTGGCGCGATAACCTCGTTTCGCCGAGCGATCGCAGGATGCGCCGAGCGACTGCACTTAGGCTCGTCCCGAGCTTACCCTTTGACCAGCCACTTTTACGTTTCTTTATTAAATTACGTGTGGGTCGTTTTATGGGAGCGCGCACAGATGCATACGGATTTGGCCAACGCGCGCCACTCGTTTCTTTGTCGAGGCTGCAGTGCGGGCTAGAGAACGAGAGCTGCCAGAAGAGTTTTGAATTACGCGCCTACCAGCTCCTAGACGTTGTTTTTTCGAGGGCAAAAAATGACGCGCACGACTCACATAGGTAGCAGATAAGCTGCGAGTAAGCCTCGGAACCGCAGCAGCAGCAGTTCTGCGACCGCACGACGTTTCATCAATCTGCAGCTAGGCCATCTTCTGCAGCAGCTGCTGAGGCAAATTTCGCAGCGGCTACACTGAAACGGCGAACGAGCACTAGTCACGCGACGATCAGCGCGCAGATACTCGAGCACTCTCGAGTTTCGGAACATCGATATCGAGTGTTGTCTCGTCATAATTCGAGTATAGGTCACTCGGACTGGTGGCGGGACTGTTCCCTCGTTGCGTCGTGTGCTGTACACACGATGAATCGAGTACCAAACGGTGTATACAAGGAGGATGCGATATTACCGGAGAGCCTTGAGTTTGCTCTTTTAAATACTTAAAATTTATTATGTTAGACGCATATTGTTTAAGTATTTATATGTAGTTCATCGGCTAATACATTATGAATATTAATATTACATAAATATGTATTTATGCATAAATTTTAGTTGTAAATAAACAAACCCCTTTTTTCAATCTTACTGTAGAATTTTAGATCTTTATTTCGAAATCTTACATTTAGTCATACATAGAAAAATTAATTTAAATAGCAGATGGGAAACATAGTAATTTTTCATACTTTTCACCGCAGTATTTTTTAAATAATATTCCGGTAGTTTCGGAACATATTTTCTTGGAAAAAATTGACAGATCTTCGTTCACTCTCCGCACCACGTACGCATAGTAGTGCGAATCAAAATCTTTTTCCTCGTAAGTTTCCATAGTAAAATAACATTTTTTATTGATTCTTACGATATTTATGATTTTACCAAATAATTTATTATGCTGTTGTATATTAATTGGTAAAAACATTCCTACTTCATAGTTAATGCCTTCTAACTCAATTTTTAGCATATTGAAGCAATCTTCTCTATCTGATTCATTTTCTATAAAAATCTGATTATTTATGATTTGGCACAGACGCAATTGCTCTTTTACTCCAATTGTGTACAACAGATTTTTTTTGCAGCTTGTAGAAGTTACTACGGATTTGATCGGTCGATGACGTGACTCGAAACGCATGGTCGAGTAATTGACACATGGTCCTAATAGTGTCAATAATCGAGGATAGTGTATTAAAAAATGATGTTTGGGCTTTAAAGGACCGAATAATTTAATGTAAAGCTCATGATGTTCTTCGATCAATGATTGNTTCCTACTTTTCGATACTTTCTTCTAACTTCTTTATAGGACCAATACAATTTTCCTCCCTCAGATACTTCCAAGGTGGTGCTGGTGCTTTTGGCGTGTTCTATGTACCACAAATCTTTTTCAGTGGTTGGGAAAACTTCAGCCAGTTGATCACGCAACCACACGAAAACAGGAGTAGTTATTCTGCAATTGATTACATTAAAACTATTTTATTAAACATGAACAAATTTGTAAGTTCAAATCACTACAAAAGTTTTCTACACATACATTATAATTTACATAGAATTAAAGCATAAAAATCACAGTTAAATAATAGAGAGTACACATAGAAATGAAACTCTTAATCTACAATTAGTAAGAAAAGGTCTATTTTTAACATAAAGTAGTTGAAGAGTAAATTTCAAAGTTGTTGATTTGGCAAAGCATCCCTTGGTTTTACATACTTGACTTGAAATCCTGTCAAGTATTAAGAAAAATACTGCTAATAAATATTAAACATTTAATATAAACTTTAAAATAAGTTTATTTTCTTTACGTTAGTGACAACATTTAAATATATAATGCCTGGAGTGACTTACATATAAAACAGAGGGTCTTTATTAATGTATCTGTATATAACAATGGGAATAACTTTAGAAAAGTCGACTTTTCCAAATTTTTCATATTTTCTCAAAATAAAATTCCCTTGGTCACTGCCCTCAATTAAATAATAAATTTCATTTTTTTTAAAAGTAAATGGTTCTGTAATACATACTTTAATCAGATCAACAACAAAAATTAAAAATAATCTATAGAGATGGAAAAAAAAATTAAAACCTTCCACTGGTGTTTCTAAATTTGATCGCTTACAGGGATTATCAATTTCTGCTACAATAGTATCTTCTGGTGAATGTGGTCTCTTATTATTTATAATATTATTGTTAGTATTTGAAGAGGATTCACTATTTCTATCCAAATGTAAATTTTTCTCAAAAAAATAAGATGAGATAAATGAATTTTTTTTACTTATTGAGAAAGGCTTTAAAAGTGACTCAATATTTGAAATTTCAACTGTGTAAAATTGCTCTGACTCTATTCCGCAATCTAAGAAAGATTAAAATGAAAAAAATAAAGGCTATAGATGTAAGAAGTTTAGTCCTATATTTATGCTTACTTACCCCAAAAGTGTTTGCAAACATCTGCCAAATCTGGATATTCTTTTTCAAAAGAATCCATGCTGGAGACTAATACAGGAGTATTTTGAAACAATCACCAATTCAGATCGAAGTTGTTGGTTAGATTTATAAATAACGCACGCGGCACTGAATAAACTTAATAATTATACACGATGATTATGTATACACGTATATATACACGTATATAGCAACAATAATAACAGCAGTGCGATAAAGATTTGCAGAAATGCAACTCACGATACAATCGTATGTTTTTGCACGATACTTCAGAGTCTTTAAAACTCTTGCAAAAGTGTGTGTCGTGCTTTGTCTTTAAAGCGGGAGAATCACACGTGTGGCGCGGGACGGTTACTCGACCATCGAGTATCTAGCACACGATGACGTTTAGTTAGCAGCGCCACGGCAGTTTGAGTGTCGTATTCACGACGCTGTGTGCGGCTCACTCGTTCGCCGTTTCAGTGTATATACGCGCGTATCGTCGAGCCGGTGGAAAACGGAAAAGTCGATGTAGCTCGCCAAAACCGCACACGGCGAATCGGCTTTTTTTTTCTCTTCTCTCTCTCGGCTCGAGCTGCGCTGCATTTTTTCCTTTCTCGAGCGAGCCACAAAGTAACTCCGAGCGCACTTTGTCGACGTACATTACTGCGTATTATATTTTACGAGTTGGAGCGAGCTGCCGTTAGCTGCGATCGCATCGCGATTTTCGGCGCTCCTTGCGCGCGTCGTATATAGACGAGCATCGACGATGCCTTATCGGATCGATAACGATCTGTTATAGGCCTGCAGCCGCGTTTATCCAATTTCACGGTGATTTTTTCCTCCTCCCGCTCGGCTCCGAACGAGGAAATGGCGGCAGCTAGTAACTGCTATATACAATCCACCTGAGCGTAAATAGAGGCGCTATCGGTTTTAGAGGCTCTCACGGAGGAGAGTCGGTTGCGGAACGTAATCGGAAGACAATTTTCGCGAGCTCGTAACGAGCCGGGAAGGAGATTTTTTTCTGTCAAGCCGGCCGTCTCTTTTTGCGGCGGCGTCGGTGACGGACTAGAGCCGAGACACGTAACTATCTGCTATAATACGACGGCCGCGTATGCGATACCCAAGTACATGTGCGCGCACACATATATATAATAATTGATTTAACGATTATGGGAAAAATAAAAAGGCGATTGCTCACGTTTCATAAATTTCTGCGGCGCGTATAATAAATTGGCCACGGCGCTCATAATGATATATAATTGAAACGAATTTTATAGCACAATTCGCACTATGCGCTATGTGCATATGCGCAGATGTCGAGCTATTAGCTGCATGTACAGGAGCTGCACCGAGCTCGCTACAGCGAACAGAGTGCGCGGGTGCCTGCTGCACGGTCTATTAATAACATTTCGAAACCAGAGGCTAATTATTCCTCCTGCACTGCTAATACATCGCTACACATCGCGCGCTTATGCATATATAAGCAAATATTCACTCAGCAGAGAGAGAGAGAGAGGAGAGACTTCCTCGTACATGTGCCGCAAGTGCATGCCAGAGCCGAGCTCGACGCGGCGCAACTTAACGGCAGGTGAAAGTAGATAGCTCATCTAACGCTCGCGAGCGCGCGAAAAATGTATAACATTCCCTTGCGCGCTACATATAACTTCAATGTGTGTGTGTGTGTGTGAGTACATAGCCTAGTGCAAAGGTATACGATGCCGCGCTTGCTTGGTCGTTTCATTAGAAAGGCTTACCTAAGACACCTCTCGCCCGACTAATAATAGCCGTCTATGTTGTCTCTCGACTCCGCGCTAAGCTGCACTGTATATAAATCCTTGATACGTAACTGAGACGCGTTTTGTCTTTTTTTTCTCTCTCGCTTCGAGCTTTTTTTGTTGTTGTTGTCGTTGTCTCGTCGAAGAAGAAAGTTGATTCGATTCGCTGAGTTTGATTGCAGATCGGGGCGAGGATCGAGCGCAGCCGATGACGATGCCGCCGCTCGGCCGAAGACGAAGCAAACGAAGACGAGTCAGCTGCTGTCACCGAGAGCCAAGCACCGGACATGACAATAATGACGAGCGTCGTCCAGCCGGTTAGCCCTGCACTCGCAGCACCAAACATGATAGGGCCCAAGCGCAGCTATCATCACCTCCAGCCGAGCAACGCCGCGCCCAACTCCCCGTCCAAGGTAACTATAATATATACCGTATAAGCAGGAAAACTGCCTTTCCTCTGATTTTTTAATCAGGAAGCCGTTGGCGCGCTTATCCTCGCGTCAAATCTTTCGCGAGCTCGTATGATATAAAGCTAATTACGCGATTATTAGGAAATAAAAGCGCAATGTCAGACTGCTGCAAGTTCAACGGAGCGCAGCCACGAGATATTTTATTTATATATCAAATAGAAATGAAAAAAAAAGTCGGGGCGTATACGATAAGGAATGTGTTGGCGCAGTGGCCATGCAGCGAGGCATTAAACGCAGCGTAGCTACCTTACGAAACGCTCGCGGCTCGAGAGCATATAAGCCACTTGTATGCGCCTTGTTTATATAGACGGGGTCGTAATTTTTATTGATACAACTGGCTGGCCGTCGGGAGCTTGAGCGGAGAAATCCGACAATAAGTTCTACGCGCGGTATAAAGTACGTATGCTTTATACGCTCGAGCAAAAGTTGCGAGTAGCTGCGCGGCGCGTCTCGTTTTCGCCGCTTAGCCCCCAGCCCCGCGCACACACCGATCACATTGGCATGAAATGTTTGAAAAATGAAAATAACACGGGCTAAAGGTGACTTCGGGCGAGCAAAGCTCGGCTGAGCAAGGGCTCGACGCGGCCATTGCATATTGCAATTCGACTCGATTCGAGCTGTGGGACTTTGAGCGAGGGACTGGGCTGCAGCGATCGATCGTTAAATCTATCGGCTCATTCGCACGCTCTCGAGCGACTAAAGTATACGTGTGTAGCGCGAGGCGGGGGCGCGAGACACGACGCGAGCGAGGAGAAGAAAAAAAGTTCCTTGCGGCGGCAGCTATATCGGGAGGAGCTGCACAAGCGAGTTACAACACCTGCGCCAGGCTGCGCGCATACGACTACGAGTATTTCTTATGCACAGGACAAAGCATCGTTATTTTCCGCGAAATTACGCGTCTATTCTCTAGATTGTTGCTTTATATATATTGTAAAAAGCCCAAGTACAGCCAGCCGTAGGTAAACAAGTCGCTTTTAGGTGTATATACCTCGTGGCACGTGCATATACGTTATTTAGCCTATGAGAGTATTGTAATGCAAGCGAGGATCGTGAGACGAGAGTAACCGACACAGCGACGCGGCGACGAAGCTGCGCCGAAAGTACTACACTACTGTGAGGGCCTTTATACTACCATCGTTGCGACACATTCCGAACATTGCGAGTGAAGAATGAAGATTTTCATACGAGACTTCTTATGTATCATGGGACTTTTGCTGGGCCAGTGAATCCGTGAAAAACGAGCGAACATATGCGCGAGAGAGAGATAATCTGGTGGTCCAGGGCATTTTTGTAGTTGGTGGAGGTGTACAGTCACGCTCCATGCTTACATACTTTAACTTCCTAAATCCGAATATTTTGGGTAGATTTGCATCAAATGGTCAAAAAATTTTCATCAACAATCAATACTTTAAACACAAAGAAATAATTTTTTTGCAAAACAAAAATTATTTCCAAATTCGTTAGTTTATTCTTAACCGAAAATTACTCTTGTAATCTTTCCGTTTGATACATATTTAACGAATTAAATTTTAACTTTGAAATAATAAGGAATTAAGATTATGAAATTTCTTCCGGTTGTAGTTTTCAAGCTAATAAACAAATGCTCTCAGTTTTGTTGGTGTGCATAACGCACGTCATACAAACAAAGTGTGATGCAGTCTTACATGCGTTACGGCAATTTTAACTTTTTTTTAAATTATGATGTTTTTTCTATGCAACTTTCACGTCGAGGCACCTAATTGAAATTGATATATGTTAGCCATTTATGTCAACTTTTACTGAAAATTATTTCAAAAGTATATTTAATTTTTTTCCGTGTAATTTTTTTTTAAAAATTCAAATTTTCAATTCATACATGACCAAAAAGGGACCCTACAACCATGAGCGATCACTACTTTCCACATTTCACAATACTTCTGTAAAATACTAATACCGGAAAATATTTCTAAGATTGAAAAAAGATAAAAATTTATATTACGCTCATGTGAATTTACTTGTATTTTAACAACTTTTTACTTAACAAGTATCTACTGAACAATAAAATAATTAAAAAATATTTAAAATTTAAGCAATAAACTCAGTTTGAAATTAGGAAAAAATTGTTAAAGAAAAAAATAAATGAAATTCAAGAAAAGAAAAAAAACAAATAAATATCCTGACAAAAATTCAAAACAAAATAAGGCACCACAAGTTTCACTTTTGATGTCTATGGATATTAGATAACAAAATCAGCAGAATTGAAATTTCAGGTGACTTTTTTCTCTTAGGTGATTTTGGTTTTATTTGTTTTTTTAAATTCCTTTAGTTTTTATCGCATTTGCTTTTATTACTTTTTTAATTAAAATTTTTCGATTAATTAGCGGTGAAAAGAAATGACTTTTTTCGCCTTTGCTGCGCGGAAAAATTCCTTATTAGCCATGCACGAGGTTGAAGCAACGACATCCAAGTTTGTTACACGTGTCGAATATCCCGTTTTATGTACTGGCTCGATACGACTGCAAATACATATAAGTACAGGTACTTGAGAGTTCATAGAGTTCACACGCGACGCGATCCCGCCTCATGTTACATGCGTATTATACATAAGCTATACATCTTACTATATCTTGCCTGCGTGTGTAGTATAAGATACGTGTGCTTAGTACAGCAGGCGAGGCGACGATATAATATTGTCATTTATTGGCTGCATGCATCCGATTGACTCGTTCGCGAGCGGCTTTTACGATAACGGGTGTTTAGCGCAGAGAACATCGTGGCCGACGCTGAGTGGATGAAACTTGGCTCGAAGCCCAGATCCGAAAATCATGTCGTCGTCGAGCGAGGACTGAAAAAGGCCAGAAAAAGGACTGTTGGATCTCGAGCCCAAACGCTTTGTTGCTTTTGCAGCCGAGGAAAGAAGTGTCTGCGCTACCGAGCGCGCGCGGACTCACTGCATAACGGCTCTTTGGTATTATATATAGGTATGCAGGTAGGCCGAGTGGCAGTCGAGTGCGGAGCTGGTGCAAAAGTATAAACTCATCGCGTTCGCGGCTTCATTTGGATCGCGAAAAAGTACGCGATAATCTGTTGGCAATTATGCCCGATAATCGGTACGAAGAGCCGCTGCTCGATCGCGATATACTTAAAACTCGTGCAGTGCGCGTTTCGCGACTGCAACTATGTCTGTGCGTATAGGCAGGTAGATATATACGTTGTGTACGGGGTCTGGGCGCGTGAAAGCGCGACCCATTTTTAGCGCACGCAGCACCGCACTCGACGTGCAAACAAACTCACGCACACATGGACGCGCGGCGCATGTGCAGCTATAGGTCAACATTCGCTTCCGTGCAAATACGCACCTGCGATAGCCGCGCGCGCTGCTTGGCCGACGCTGCTGCATCCGCCTCTCGCGTTAATTGCGCGCACAAACGCATTGTATACAGTGCTGCTTGCCAGTACTACTAAAGAGTAATCGTAATTTCTCGCCCGCAGCTCATCCGATCCGTGGACCCATACCTATATTTCATTTTGTATTTCGTACTTTCGATTCTAGCACTATAATAGGGACGCGTTGACGATCGCCACTCGAAATTATGATCTTATGTAGTGCAGCTGCCGCTGGACATGGATTTTTCGCCAGCCTACTGCAATTATTTATAATAGACGCCCATAGCGCACTGCATTTACATTTTACGCGTGATTTTTTTATTGCTCATTTGTTTCAAAAAAATAAATTTTATTTCTTTTTAGAAATGGGAATAATCAATCGGATACCGTTTTTACATTGAAAAAGTGTAATTGTCAATCATGAGACAACAATTAATCAAGGACTTTATACAGCTTATGTAAAAAGATACTTGGTACCATATTAACGACAATATTTTCGAAATCGTAGACTTCAAAGAATGTATGTTCAAATGAATGTTCCCGGAAAACAGGATCAAAATTTTTTATCCTGCAAGCAGTAGTCAAAAATTTCGATCTTGTTTTCCGAAAAAACCACCCAATGAAATTGGCGGAAATTTGGTGCAGTTGTTCACATCAACAGTACGGAGGGCTCCACGTAGCGGTTTTTCGAAAATCGGTCCAATAAAAAAGTTATTTTAATTTTCATTTTTAATGCTCGGTCGGTCAAAATCAGGGCTTCGGCATCACCTTAAGGTGATGCCCCGGCCACAATTTTTACCGACCGAGCATAGAAAATGTATATTTTCGTAACTTTCTTTCCAGGCTGATTTTCGAAAAACCGCTACGTGGAGCCCTCCGTATTGTTGCTGTGAACTACTGCACCAAATTTCAGTCGATTTCATCGGATAGTTTTCCCGGAAAACAGGATCAAAATTTTTGATTACTGTTTGTAGGATAATTTAATACAATAACGAATAAGCATCATCAACTATTAATTAAATATCGTCGTTAATATATGGTACTAAGTATTTTTTTACATAAGCTGTACAATATCCTTGATTAATTATTGTCTCATGATTGACAACTACACTTTTTCAATGTAAAAACGGTATCCGATTGATTATTCCCATTACTAAAAAGAAATAAAATTTATTTTTTTGAAACAAATGAGCAATAAAAAAATCACGCGTAAAATATACCGCGTCTGCACTGCTCCGATTGTGCGTATAGCCGTGTGTCTGTCTGTGAGCCGCTGCGCTGCTGCTGCTGCTGCTGCTGTAACGCGTGTTGTTTATATATTGGTATCAGAGACTTTCACCGCATCGTGTTCGCAGATTTCCCTGGAGCAGCACCCACGCTTCGGCCCGTACTCAGCCGCATGTGTGCAGCTTCTACTACTTTGCTACACAGCTATTCGCTCGAAAATGAAAAATTCTCGTGCACTTTTGGGTTGGGCCCCCAACAGCAACGGAATACACGCTGCGGACGATCGTTATTTATTTACTCGCGTAGCTGCGGGATAGAGCGACTTTCGAAATTTTTCGCCAGCTCTTGGATCGCCGCGCGGTCAAGTCGCGCTCCAGCTCAATAACGCGACCGAATTACCCCGTGTGCACCAAGGCTATTTGCTAAGGCGGTTGTATATGGGCAAGCTGCAATTCGACGCCACTTTTTTTTCGCTCGCCACCTCGTGCGAGCCCGTGAAATTTCACTAGTTCGTATTCTAAATTCTTGTTTTACGATACGCGTGCCTATTATACTCGACGCTTTGAGCCTCGAGCTATTGCTTCAGCCGTTTGTCGATCGCTCCTCCTTATGTTCTGCACGCTGCTTTGCGCTTGTTTATAATCGCAAGTTGCGACGCGTAAACAGCCGATAAATCCTCCAGATTAACATTATCGCGCGATCGACTGGTGGGCAGCGCGATGAGACTGCAGTATGAACTGGCGTAATGTATCATTGTAGCTGGGCAACAATTGCCACGGGCATATCGATCGCCGGCAATAATGATTAATTATGCGTGAAATCGAACCAGATCGAAAATCGTCTGTGCGCTCGCTCGAGATCGAGGAAGTAGCGCGAGCTCCACTTGGCCATATCTGCTGCTCGATGCGCGCTGACTTCACAGTACCTCCATGATAATAGTTGGCGGCGTTGAGTCGATCTCTCGGGCCGGTCAACCGGTGAAAGTCCATTATATAGTTATACATCTGTTATAGATCCATACAGTATATACTAAAAAAAATGATAAAAAAATTATTAAATAAAAAAAATGTTCATTAAAAAATTATAGTTAAAAAAAAATTATGAATAATCAATTTTTTATAACTTTTGTATCACTTTTTTTACAAAATTTAGTTTACTTTACAAAATATTAACTTATTGTTGGCTTGGTTAGAGGCTTTCTTGACCTAATGAAGAACATACGTTTGCCTAGCAAACAATCTCTTATTTTCTTCTTCTAATAATAGAGAGAAAATTTAAGCGTCTGTTTTTAAATTGTATCAATGAGACTATTTTGACGAAAAAAATTAATATGATGAACTTATGTGATTATATACTTGCATCTAACTGCAATTTTAAAGCTGAAAACCTGTTCTGATTTAAGTATGGTAAAAATTCAGAAATAATGTCTTTTTTGAAGGCATGCGTCTTGCGTATCTCTTAATTGTTATAATTAATGCATTATACAATTTCGAGCGATCTAACCTGTAAAAACAATTATTATTAAATATATCATCCTTTTAACTTGCAGGGCTACGAGACCTTGAGCAAAGGCAAAAAGTCCTGGAGCGTGAGACTCGGGCTGTCTCGAGGCAACTCATCGTCGTCCAATTCACGGCAGGATGTGGGCTCGATGCGAGGATACTCGCCCCAGAGGCAGCATCACTCGCAGCAGCAGCAGCAGCAACATCAGCAGCAACCCCAGACCTGGGCCACCCTCAGCGGCGGCAGTATCCTGGCCCAGCAGATGATGTACGGCGAGCCCTGGCTCTACGGCACCGTCCGGGGCCCTCCAAGCCATCTGCATCATCATCAACAACAGCAGCAGCAGCTACTACTGGTCTGCTCCTGTCCCGAGTTCCTTGGGGGTGCCTCCACCAGAGACGTGGGCAGCAACTGCAGAAAATGCGGTGGGCATCGATTGGCAGGCCTCACGATCGGGGGTACTTGCAGGATGCCTACCACTACTATCAGAGCTAGACCGAGCTTGGCAGGTAAGTCGGGCTTTCCTTTATAATTTGCTCGTCACTATGCCATTGTCGATGAATTTCAATCGATGCCAAATTATCTGAACGATCTGAAAAATTCTTGACTTGGTTGTCTTTAATCGATTGGCAGATCGTTCGTGCTCGATAATATTCTGCAACTGCTCTATGAACGTACATGTTCGGTTATAAATATGCAAAAGTTATTTTTATTCGCTTGTGTATCCAAAGACGCGTATGAAATATTCTCCCAAGTCTTTGAATTGTGACAATACAATAATAATACGAGAGCTTTTCCATTTACGGACAGTCACTGAGATACGCGTTGGAGGACTTTCACCGCGCACGACTCAATCTTTCAAATGGAAAAAGCATTAATTGGCTCATGCTCGTCTCGTAATTCCAAGATTGATACGAGTCGTGGTAAGAATGAGAAGAGCTATATAATGTATAAATGTGCCACGATAAAAATGAGCCTTTTACGTAATACGAGCCACCCACGCATTGAATAATCGCTCGGACGCTGCATAATACATGATACGCGCGTCTTACGAGCTCTTTTTCTATTTTGCGAGTAATGCACGCACGACTCTGAATTAGTTATTCCTACATACATATTATTTTGATTATGCACATTTCAGGAGTTTTTAATTGAAGAATTTCGAATGTTCAGTCCGATGGCACGCTTTTCACAGTCGCGCGCCGTGTAATTTCAATGTTTAGCGCGCAAAGAGTCACGAAAAACAATTTGTCGATCCCAATGTATAATAAGAATTATGAAATGGTTAGACGCGAAATGCACAACTCAGCACTCACTCTGTGCGCTGCTGCAGGTATGCTGAAATCCTCGGTCGACGACCCCTACGACTTGATGCGCCGCAGTCGTCTATTGGAGCCTAGATCGCGAGCCCGCAGCATATCGCCGTCGAGTCAGCAACAGCAGCATCAAAAGCAGCAGCAGCAGCAGCATCAACAACAGCAGCAGCAGCAGCAGCAGCAAAGAAGCCAAAGCGTACAAGTCCGTTGCGGTCCTCCAAAGTCCTCGGGCTTGAAAGTCGAGCCTCACTCTCGGACCGAGTGGTTCGATTGTTCGAGCTCCGGAGCTGGGCCCGGTGACAGGCTCGACAGCGTCATCAATCAATCGGTACGTAAACATATTTGTATACAAGATTGGCGAATCGTATAACATTGAGCTTCGTTTCCGGACGCAGACCAATCTGATTCGCGCGAGGGATTGGCAAGAGGATGTGGGGCCGCCACCCCCGAGCAGCCTCGGCAACGACTCGCGCAAGAGCATCCTAGAGTGCGACGTCAACCCGTACCTACTGCTCAAAGGCCCGAGTCAGTTGGCCTTGCAGGACCTCAAGCAACATCAGCAGCTGCAGCAGCAACAGAAGCAACAAAAGCAACAACAGCAGCAGCAGCGAGAACAGTTGCAGCGGAGACGCGAGCAGGAGGAGGAGGAGGACCGGCTGAGCGACGAGTTGTCGGACAACGCCCTCGAGCAGCCGCGAGTCAGCAGCCTCTTCGACCCGAGCAAGGTCAAGTCGATCGAGCGAATAGCCCTGAACAGGAGCTGCTCGGTCGCGGCGATCGGCGGCCAGCGGGTCAGGCTGTTCAACGAGCCGTCGCATCGGGACGAGTCGAGCCACAGCGAGGAGGACGATCAGCCGCTCTGCAACACGTCCCACCAGCTGACTCGCATTCCCATCCCCAAGATCTCGCCGAAGCGGCCGCCGCGGAGACTCAAGGAGGCCAGGAACGTCCTCAAGAGCATCTTGAAGCAGGCCGGCGGCGATAAGCAGCGTCAGAGTCACAATCAGCAGTCGCAGCAGAAGCACCAACAGCAGCAGCATCAGCTGAGCGACGTCAAAAGGAAGAGCGTGTTGTTCAACGTCGACAATGTAATACTCGCTCCGGAGAAGCCATCCGGACCACCTCCTCCGCCGCCTGCACCGCCGTTCTCGAGCTTCTCGAGCTTCTCGCCGGTCAACTCCAGCGACGCCAGAGAACAGGGGTGAGTCACTTTAATCGAATAGTCGCCTAGCTTTTCCAAACGCGCGTGACTTTTGTCGCAATGCGATATGGCCGCGCGAAATTGATAGGGTGCAAGGTAAGCTGCGCACAAGGTGACGAGCCGCAGCCGAGCGTCGCGGCTGGCCTTTGTTACAATCGTAAGAAAAACAAACGGCTGTACTTGACGCGTCGCGTGACACTTCCGAGCCCGGCACGAGTTACGTGTATGAGCGTTGACATTGTACGAGGCCTTTTTCTCTTGTATTTTTGCAGCACTTGTCCTCAGCGGAAGACGAGCAAATCGTCGTCGCTACAGACGAGTTCCGACAGATCCGAGGCTACGACGAGCGAGCTACCGATCGTAGCCCAAGAAAGTACCATCGAACGTCCTCAACGTTTCATCACTATTCCAAATATCAAGAGCCTCAAGCAGCAGCAGCAGCAACTTCCTACCCGACAGCAGCCTCTTCAGCACGAAGCAAAGATCGTAGCAAAGGTAAAAAGTCCTCCTGAGATCAAAATCGACAAGTACGTATCATCGAAGAAGCCACAACAGCAACAAGTCCAGGATCAGCAGCAGCAGCAGCAGCCAAAGATGAGCCAAGATGCCGCGTCAAAAGAGCAGCTGGATAAAAAGCCAAAGTGCGAGAGCGAAGCGAAATCATCGGACGTCGAGAAGGCAGAAGAGTCGACATGGCAGCCAAAGCCCAAGCCGACGAGCGATCCAACAACGACGACGAAAACGGTGGCGAGCAAGGTCGAGAATAACTGCGAAAAGGACGAGTCGCAGCGAGCGGGTGAGTGCATTTATAATATGAAAAAAGTACGATCGAGCTACGCAGTTGGTGTAATCTCTTCTGATCGGCGGTCATCTCGATAGCCGCGCGTGCAGATGTAAGGACTTTTACTTTTTTATTCTCGGTTCGGAGAGCTATTATTAGGCGGTCCGCTGAGAGCCAGGAAGAGTCGAACAAATGCAACACTTGTCTCTTATAATACGCGCTCTCGAGCGAGCTTATACGCCGAGATAGAGAGACGCGCGAATAGATATGCTCGAGAGTCGAAGGTGCGCAAAGGTCAGGGTCAATGAGCTCATTATTAGCCCTTTCGTCCGGTTGGCGCGCGACTCGCAACTTTATATAATATTTATTAAGTCCCTGTATGCGAATTAAGCTGTAGGCGTGTCGTCGACTCGAGCTCTTGATGCGCTTTCCCTCTTGTACTTGGCCGACCTTACACAGCGTTCATTACGAGGCGGCTGCGAGTCCAGTCGAGCAACGAAAATATCGTATCTCGCGGCAGGCATCGCGCTTAGGTCGTGCATGCGTTGCGCTTACAAGCCTATGTACGAGGCTAGTGTACGAGGCGGTACGCGTATATCGCGATTCGCGCGTGGGAAAGAATCTTATATAGACGGTAAAAGTCCGTAAGCTCGCACGCACGGCCTCGTGGAATTTATCGCGCCAGCGACACCGCCGCACCACCACCGTATAGTAGTACCACGACGGCCACTGCGTAAGTCGCGCGCGTAATTACGCCAAAGAGTCGCGCGAGAGCTAGCTCGTAGCGTGGTATTGTTGCAGCGGCGCTTGTACCTCGAGCTAGTTAGAATCGGCCGAGGCGATCGCTTTCTATCGGCGTTACGCGTCCGCGGTCGCGACCGAAAATTCCATCCTCTTATCGGGAAAATCGGCAAAAGCCGAGAGCTAGTACGCGTCTTGGGCCGTCGTTGACGCGCGGCCACGTGCACGACGACGACGAGCATCGCCACGAGATCCACGCCAAAGACCCGAGCTATAGAAAGTTTCCTCCAAACTCGATCGTCCATCCGATCGACGTGGCGGAATTTATTTTATAGCTACTGTCGCGCTATAACCGCTGCTATATATACGAGATGCCGACCTAGCCGCGTAGCTGCTCGATGCATACAGCGACTCGGGAGTACATCAATCCATCCTCGAGGTGAAATGCTGCGTTTTAGTCAAAGTTTTCTCCGTTGAGTCGCAATTCTTATCACACCAACGTCTGTGTATCGTGCGTGTAGCGATCCGCGGCTCGAGCTGTAATGCTGCGCGCACGCACTGCTCGCAAATAAAACCAACTGGACTCGGGAGAAAGCTCCAAAGAGCGTATGTGTGCAAGCGAGATTGATAGCGTCGAGCCTTTAAACACGTCGTTCGAATTTCTCTTCGCCTCTTCCCCTCGACCGGTCTCTCGACGTCCACGGACAACTCGCGCCTGCGATACCTCAAAATTCCAATCTATTTTCAACCCTCGCTTGTTTTTTTTTTACGCTTTTCCAGGCGCTTTTTCAGTCGGCTGAAATTAGCATTGAACGCGAAAACAAGGACGATGCGAGCTCTCGCGGCCGTAAATTGTGCGAGGCACGCAGCTGCAAGAATGCCCGAGTAAAAAACTGCTCGAGATTCGTGAATAAGAATCGTGAAAATGAAGCTATTATATCGTCGAATCGGCTAATCGTTACGGGGAATCGCATCGGATCGATAAATCTGCACCGCTATAGGATTGCTATATACATAAGATCGCTCGGGTGGATGCTTCGTTGAGTCCACGCGTGTTATTAACGTAGCTCGACGTGCGGCTGCAGCCGAGCTATAGCGCTTTTCCGAGTAAAAGAATTTCACTCGGCTCAAACTATAGAGCGCCGCGTAAAAATAAAAACTTTCAGCGCCTGGGAAATGAATATGATTTTTTCTCATATATAATAACGATGAGCGCGCTAATCGCAACTCGAGCTTCAATTCAATTCAAATGCAAGCGTCACGCGATCAATTGACACGCAGCACCACGAGTGCGTTTCTCAAACACGGAGAATCATCATTGTTGCCGATCTCTCTCTTTCTCTCTCTCTCTCTCTCGAAGGAGCGACGACGAGAGTTAATGAAAATTTTTTCACCTCTTTCATGGTCTTGAATGGGCGTTTTTCAGCCCGTGCCACTGCGGCCCACTCGTCTCCTATCAATTTTTCATCCTAAATCGACGCGCGCCAACAATGGCATCTATTGTTTCCAATGGGCCCCGACAAAATCATCATCGGTTCGTGTAATAGTTGAAAAGCAAAGGGGGGAAAAGATGAAGAGAGAGAAGAGAAAAAAGTGAGAAGGTACAAGAGCAAAGGCGCAGAGCGTCGAGTCGCCCGTTCGAAAGTCTCGCTCGCCTCGCGTAAGAGCCGACTCTAATTTTTTGTATCCCATAACAGAGCGCGGCGCGACCGAGAGTGCAAATAGTGCTCGAGAATCTGCGGAATGCAGGCAAATGACTTATGGCGAAGTCGCGCTCGGGCTAAGCCATATAATGCGCGCGATACACCCACTTGCGTAAATCGCGCGCGGCTTTTTTATTAGCTCCTTTTCCTCCTTCGTTCGCTTCTTCCTTTGCCCCGCGCCTCTTAACAACTGCCATATGCAGCCGAGCCGACGATGTACTTATATATGAACGATCATAATAATAATCATAATGCCGCGGTATAAGTTTCTCATATAAAAATGCATGAGCCTAATGGAAAAAGGAGTGATTGTTATAAAACGAGACTCTGCTAGATCTACGATGAGAAAAATAGCTAAAAGCGAGAGCAGCCCGCCAACACAATACGTTTATTATATATGTGTATGGCTGCGTCAGTCGGAGTGGGGTTTATTTGCACCAACTGCCGTTATTGGATTATTATTGTTGTTTACAAGATGCTTATCGAGTAGCTGCGCGTGAAAATTGCCCGATAATCTGCGGGGGCACACGTGGGTATATGTTATATACGTACATACACGATCGTCGCTCTTGAACTTGATCGTGCGACTCGAGCCGTGATTGTCTCGTCGAATCGACGGCTTATTTCGTTTCGCCGCAATGAAATTTTGCATGGCGCGCAGTTTCCGGCGCGATCGCGAGCTGAAAATAATCCGAGCTGCTGCGATATCAGATTAAAAAATACCGCGCGCCGAGGAACGCACACGGCGCAGAGCTGTAGAAAGTAGAAACTTTTTAGTCCATCTATGCGCGCGCGCGCGAGCCAAGATGCAATGCCTTGATAGATTTATAGCCGAGACGCTTATGAGCACGTATTATGCTACGAAACTCCACCGAAGAACATTGAAAACGTCTAGCTGCAAAATTCCGAAGAACATTTTTTTTTTCTTCAACTTTTGTCACTGCGCCTATATAGCACTTTCTCTCTCGTCTCCACTTAAACACGTGTTTACGGGAAAATATTTCGCGACACGAGCCCGCTCTTATTTCCCTCGAATATGTTGTCTCGAAATCGATCTTCAGTGCGAGCCCAGAATTGCTAAAACGGCGAAATAAAAAAAATACTAGGCATGTAACTGCTACTTGCTGCTCAGAGAGAGAGCACACGTTTTGAAGATAAAATAAATTAAAAATTATAATCCAAATCAATTCAAACATTATTTTGATAAAAATAGATCAGAGAATCGCTAATCACTAATTGATAAAATTATCAATCACATTTACGAAGACAATTTATGGGTAATTTGTAATAATGAAAAATTCAGTAGAACATACAAGCAAAATAACGATAAGAATATTCTATAAGAATAATCATAGTAATAATAGATGAAACCGATCGAGAAACTCTCCTCCGGCTGCTTTGGAGATCACGACCCAGAAAGTCGCTTCGATCAAGTCAATGATTAATAAGATTTACAGGCTCTTGATATTACTTTGGGACATATACTGGATTTGCAAGCTTTATATTGTAAAAATATGAAATGGTTCGCAAAACGTTGGTATAATGAAGTAAATAGTGTTTTGTCAAAGATTTATGCCTCACAAACGTCCTAATTATTTTGGTGGAATCAATCATAAAGGTTGATGTGTACGAGGCAGCTTTGAAAGTGATTTCTCCAAATGTTTCTATACATTTTGCCGAGGAAACAAAAACAAGCCGCGGATATGTATTAGTCAGTCATAAACAGCTTGAACTGCAGCTACATATAACATATCTAATGAGCTGCTGCTGCTGCAAATACAGATTAAGTGCAACGACCGATTTCTCGAACTTTATCTTAGTCTTGAGAAACCAATTAAACGGGACAGGTCTAAGTCTTTCTCTCTCTCTCGCTCTTTATCTCTCGGCGCATTCGCTCGGTGTATTGTCCTTTTTTGCGCTTTTCCGCGTCAGAGCTATATCACATGCACAGACTGCACGAGCTGCTCGCGCACTGCTGTATATAATAATAATCGTTGCAATTACGCATGTAGTGAAATTACACATAGACACGCCGAATACGAGCCGAGACTATATTCAAGCCCTTTTATATTTACTCGAGCGCTATACACTGCACACTACACGCATAGCATGCACAGCACTCACACGTGTAGTTTATTCTAGTAGAGTACAGAGTAATGGAGAATTTGTGCTGCGCGATGGGAATAAGGAACTAAATTCCACGTTATTTCCTCTGCTCGCGCTGCTATGGCAGTTCGTATAGCAGCTCGAGTCGTTCATCCTAGACTAATTTCACGGCTGCCGCTCTTGCGACTTCATGGGAAACGATCTCGAGAAAAAGTGTCTCTTCTTCGTCATCTTCAACGGCAAAATTATACTTTCCTCTCTCTCTCTCTCTCTCTCTCTCTTTCTCTGCTGCTACAACTCAGACGCGCTTCCAATACGTACTGCAAGGGCCTTATTATAGAAATCGCTATATTAATTCTCTCTTTTTCCTCGTGCTGCAGTTGGGCCCGAGACGCTCGCGCAGCTGTTTACATTCGCTGCTAATAATAAATCAACCAGTTATGTTTATTTTCGCTTTTTTTTTTGTTGTTGCTTTATTCGCGCTCAAAAGCGCGTGTGTATATGTATACAGCCACTGGCAATTAAATATGTGCGCAGGTGAAAATCGCGAGAGAGCCAACTTCCACGTACATGTTTGCAACGTGCATGGGTATATAAATATATTTATGCTGTACGTACATACACACACACTACGTAGACATTCCGAGAGGCGCATGTGTTTCTGCGCCGCCGCGTGGGTGTAATGTTTAATCACCGCTTGCGCTTGCCTGGAACGAGAGTCATTTTTAACTCGCTTCACAATGTCTCTTCTTCTTACTATATACATAAGCGTAATTATTATTATTATATCCGTGTGCAGGCTGCGGATGCTGCAACGGTGAAATCGAAAAAGTCCTCCGCGCGCAGCCAAGCGACTATCGCTTTTCTCGCTCGTCCGACGAAAAAATAAATCCGCCACTCGCTGCGCCGCGGCAGCGGCCTGCACCCGATAAGCCTCGAAATGAGGTTTGAGGGTCGAAAAGGAAAAGAATAGTGTCCTGTTGCGGAGTTGCGGACTACAGTCTATATCACTTTCCTCGTTTCCGTAAGCAATATATGTATACGCGTATATGCATACGTATGTAACTGCAGAGAAATTTATTATACCTACCGGAATATAGAGGCGGCTGTCAGTAGCTGCACGGCTAATACGTAAGAAAGGCATATAAACGGCGCGTATGAAATTTTTTCGCACCTCAAAAGTTGCGCGAGATTACGAGCTGAAAAAAGTGCTGCTATGGCTAGCTAGGCAACGCGCGCGCGCGCCTAATAGAAAGTACGGGGAATGCCGCTGGTAATTGCAATTTTCAGTACGTCGACTTTTTGCCTTTTTGTTTTGCACAGCGAGCTGGAAAAATGCAGCCAACGGCATGAGCGGTGGCACGAGCGTGGCGAGCTTGAACCGCAGCCAGAGCGACCGAAGCGTCGAGCGACCTGGCCTAGTGGCGAGTCAGGAGGTGACCTTCGTCGACACCATGAGACTGAGCCTGTGCAGGAAAACAGGCTCGACCAGTAGTAGTAGTAAGGAGCAACAGTCGATCGCCGACAAACGGATCAGCATTGCCGAGAGAGATGTAGGTCTATTTGGATCGTGCAAAATATTACGACTTTTATCACGTAAGCCCATCCTCTTAATCATGACGCGAACCTCTAATTGGTTTTGCAGTGGGTTGACGCGACGCAGCCCATCCAAGCCAGAGTCAGAATAGATGATCAAAGTCGATCACGGGTGGACTCGCTAGCTCAACAGCAGCAGCATCAAAAGCAGCAGCAAGTAAGGACATCCGGCGAGGACCCGATGAGCACAGTATCGAATATCTGCAAAATAACACTAAAACCTGCAACGTCGACGCTCGCGACTACTCAGCTCGTACACAGGCTACAGGTAGGCAAAACCACTATTTTGAATGATCAGTTGTGCAAAAAAAATTCATTTATTTACAAAAATTGTTAAATATTGTCGTTGGTTGATTTGTCGGAACAACAGGTCAGTAGCAGTCCAACTACGAGCAATTCAACGTCGATCACGATAAACGGTGAGTCCCACGACGCTTTGAGCAGCGAAACGAAGAAGATGCAGGGCACCGGTGGCGGCAACAAAGTTACCATAAGCATCGGTGGCAACTGCGCGGAGCCGTGCAACCCGCCAACGGTCATCTCGGTCAACAGCGGCAACGCCAAGAACGGCAACGGCATCGGCATAGGCAGCAGCATAGGCACCGACGACTACTCCTCCTACAACGACTTCGTGCCAGCCAAGATACAGACGTCGGCCGACCAGAAGCGCACCCTCGTCATCCTGGACAACTACCACCGATCGAGCGTGACGATCGAGCCACCGATCAAGCCGCCGGCGAGTCCACCGACTCAAGCCGCCGCTGACGAGGCCTGCTGCTGGTCGAGGATAGCCGAGGCCCCGAGCAAGGAGCAGATGATATCGCAGCTGCTCGAGGACTCGCTGCGCAAGGCCCGCCAGAACGGCGAGATCGTCGACGAGAGCAGCGGCGAGGCCATACTCAAGATCCTCAAGCAGAGCCTGCTCAAGGGCTCCTGCTCGGACCTCATCGACGAGGAGGACGAGGAGGACGCCTACGAGATCATCAAGGAGCCCATCTACGAGGAGATCCCCGAGGAGCCGGGCCCGTTGCCGCCCCCGCTGCCGCTCAGTCCCCCTCCCAGCGAGGCCGAGCTGCTCAAGAGCCGCATCTTCTTCGGCGATCTCGAGTACGAGCACGAGGGCTTCAGGGACCTCAGCACCGGACGCTTCTACAAGCCTCTGGCTGGTGGTTCCAATCAGTACCTCGAGTGCTCCTATCTGAGCAAGGAAGAGAAGGCCAAGGCTGCCAAGGCCTCGCTCGGTAAGACCATCGGTGGCGGCAACGGCGTTGCCTCCGATCCCAAGTCCTCCTCCAGCAAGCAGCAAGACAAACTGTCGAGTAAATTCGAGCTGCTGAACTTCATCGTCGACTCGGAGGAGCGTACCCGAGCCGGGGACGTTGCCCTCGACGAGGACGAGGACGAGGAAGACGACGACGACGACGATGCCATCATCGACGACGACGAGGACGAGGACGACGAGGACCCCGAACGAGACCTCGAGGCGCTCTACGAGCAAAAGGAGATGAGCTTGGGCGACCTCAGCAGCAAGAGCTCGCAAATATCCAACGTTTCCGACAGCAGCGAGGAGTGCAACATCATCCTGGTGAACTCGAGCGAGAGTCGCAAGGTAAGTTCCTTCGTGACAAAGAGTCGAGCGAGTAAGCACCGATCGAACTATAAAACGAATCCTTGGTTCGACAGGCCCGCAACGTCGACATCGAGAGGACCGACAGCGGAGTCGGATCGGAGAGCAGCCAAGCGAGCAGTGGTCGAGGCGGTGGCTGCGTTGGACGACGCTGGAGACATTTGAATCACGCCAACGGTGACAAGAGTAACCTGGCCAATGCTCCGGCTAGCCAGTCCCATAACGGTAACAACAAGAGCCCCGTCAACGCTTCCAACGCCTCCAATAACAACAACAGCAGCAGCTGCAGCAGTACCAACAACAACAATAACAACAACAAACTCGACGTGAAGCATTGCGAGGATTGCGAGCAACGTATCGAGCCTCATCTTATCGACGGGTAAGTCGTTCATAAAAGTGAAATTGACGCGCGATTAATCGACGTTAATGGGCTCGATCGCGCCGAGGCTTGCTCCCCCCCGATAGATTACCGTATAAATTAGAAAATCTGTCAAAGCTGTTATGACATTTTTTGCGCTTTCCAATGCACGCGTCGAGTGTCGCAGGCAGCTCTATCGCGCGTGTACAGCCAGTTGCAGATTACTGCATCGAAAGGTGCTTGGGCCTCTCTAATGAATCTCAACTTATTCCATGCACTTTCCAAATCATGTATCGATCTGTTAGCTCGTGTCAAGCGGCCTTTTTACAATTGTTTTTCAGCTGTTTTTTTTTGGCGACAACAAGAGGCAGCTAAATGGCAACCGCAACACCCTACGGCAGTCGATCGTGAAATTTTGTCGCAAACTTATAAAACTAGCCATATTTGCTCGGGCACATACAAATATTGCAGATATGAGCTATTCACGCGTGTATATGATTTACGCCAAGATGATAGAAGGCAAAAAACTGCACACACGGTATCGCAGAAAATATGCTAATGCATCGAGACGATGGATGATTTACGATCCGCGCTTATAGCTATACACATATCCGCTTGTCGCGCAATTATGCTCGCCGAGTGATATTATACCAGTGCAATAGGTTCGAGCGATTTTTCAAAGTTCACCTACGGCCCGCGAGCTCGGCCACGCTTTGCGCACAATGTGTGCGTGAGCGCGTATGGAAATAATACATATAAAATATGCACACATACATCCTGCTCGATTAGTTTCCGCGACGCCAGTGCAGCAGCCCAGCTCCCATATCACGTAATACTTTTACTCGCGCGGATATTTTGATTTTGCGTATCGATACGCGCGCGCGTATGTAAGAGGACGGTGAAAGTGGCTGAAATGTTGCTCCTTTTTGTCGAGGCTCCTTCGCGGCCCAACCTGATTTTTCTTCTTACTTTTCTTATTATTTTGTCGCAGCAGCAACGGCAACGGCAGCGGCAGCTCGTGCTCGGTCTGCCGCAAGTGCGCCAAGAAGCGCGTCGAGCGCAAGGAGATCGTCACGGAGATCGTGGAGACGGAGCAAAAGTACGGCCGCGACCTGCACATCATCCTCGAGGAGTTCCACCGGCCGATGCTGCGCGCCGGCCTCCTCACGCCCGAGCAGCTCTCGGCCATCTTCCTGAACGTCGAGGAGCTGCTGGAGCACAACCACGTGCTGGCGCACAAGCTCAAGCGGGCCGTCGAGCTGGCCCTCGAGTCCGGCGACGCGGACCTCCTGAGCCTCGACCTCGGCAAGATCTTCCTCGAGAGCGAGCGCATGCTGCACGCCTTCGAGAGCTACTGCACGAGGCAGGGCGGCGCCAGCCTCCTCCTCCAGAATCTCGAGAAGGAGAAGGAGCTGCTCAGGATCTTCCTCAAGGTCTCGCAGATGGAGAACACCGTGCTCAGGCGCATGAACCTCAACTCCTTCCTCATGGTGCCGGTCCAGAGGGTCACCAAGTACCCCTTGCTGCTGGCTCGTCTGCTCAAGGCCACGCCTTCGGCCCGCCTCGACATGCAGGAGCTCAAGAAACGACTCAAGCAGGCCCAGACCAACATCGAGCTCCATCTCGAACACATGAATGCCGTCGGTATCCATTCCTATACATTCGAGCTTTCTTAATACCGATCGAACTTTGACGCTGGCTTTTTGTTCTCTAGGAGGCCAAGGACATCACTTCGACGAAACTCTGGCGTCGCATCTCCATCATCCAGAGCAACGGATGCCGACGGCCGAGCGGCGAGCAGGACATGGTCAACATCAAATTGCGAAAGATGGCCGTGGAAGTGCTCGAGTGGGCCCACGAGGACTCGAGATTCGTACTCGAGGGTCGCTTGCTCGTGGCCCAACCTACCGACAACAATTGGCGTCGAGGCCGGACGGTCAAGCTCGCCCCCGTCATAGCCATGCTCGTCGCTAACGGACAGGTTGACTTTTTTCCAAATCACTTGTAACAACTTGTACTAGCGTCCTGCTTTGCATTTTGTTATCTAATAATTTTCTTGCGTCTCTTTTTTGTCCGACATTAGCCGAACGATGATTTCATGCTCGACGCATCGGCCGACGACTCGCTCTTCCCGCGTCAGATCAACGTCAAAGAGGCAACCCTTTTGCTTATCAAGGAAAAACTTGGCCGCTACTCGCTTCTAAGAGTGAGCTTTTTCCCCCTCAAATAATTCTATAGTTTCTGTCGACAAGACGAGTTAATTATAATTGACTATACTTCCACAGGAGCCATTGTACCTAGACAAGTGCATCGTGTGCTGCGAGACCGACCTCGAGGACTACTTCGAAATTCAAGAGCTATCTTCGAAGGAGACATTCATTTTCAAGGTAGGCAATTGTGAAGGATCGAACGAACTGGTACTCGTTTTGGATCATTGCTGAATTCTGCCATTGGTTTTTCAGGCCGAAGACGGAGCGAGAACAAAACGCTGGTGCCGTACGCTTCAGGCCCACGCTCAGTCGCTCGGAGCTTGGCGCAAACGTCGCGGTGCCTTGCCCAACATCATGATTTGCGGTGTGGCGCGCAATTGACGCGCTCGACTCGAAAGCTGTGCAACAAAGTCGTTTATTACGATACCTTAACTAATTTATTGCTTTTTGTGTCTCTGTCTCCGTCTCAATGTGTGTGTGTGTGTGTATGTGTGAGAAAGAGTATGTGTGTTGCAGCTGTCAGTGCAGTGCATCGTGAGTTTGCGCGCGTTATACGTCTGTGTTTTTTTATAGTGCGTCGGCAGAAACGGCACGTTTCCTAACGTAACTGTAATGACTTTTTTAATCACTATACTCCATATTTACGTACGCTACACCATTTTAGAAATTAAGTATTTTGCTTATTATGCATATTAACCTCTCGGCCGCACTAGTGAGCGAGAGTTGATATTTCCTATTACATACACGTGTATACCTTTTGTCACGATCAAAGTCCACTTGACAGCATTAATTTACAAAAAAAATCGATTGAAGAAGGCAATTTTTTTTATATCTATGAGTACCATCGTGTCTAACATATACGTGAGACTAACGTATTTTACCTCATTTCGAAGTGAAACTTCTTTTTCTTTCGACGTCCCCCGTTTTTATTAATAAGATCGCACCAAGTACCATTTAATAAATGTACTTATATTATTATCAGTAGCTGTGATACCTCTCCCAGGTGTATTGGGTAAATCAAGATAATAAACGTCATCGACTCACTCTTTGTAATATTTGAAACTATTAAAGAAATTTTTATTCATCGCTTAGTCCTTACAATTATATATTAATTTTATCATTATTTAATTTACACACTAACGACTGTATGCTGAGCATTGTACCATAATAGTGTAATCAGCCATTTGTTTGTAAATACTTTGCAATTTTACTGTATGATACAATAATGAACAATTTATAAAATATACTATATAATAAAACTAATAATGTGTGTACATGTTGTATTCGTGTAAATCGATCTTACTGACGACGACATACACCACGACGATCTGTGCGTATCAAATCGAATAAATGAATCAATTGATTAACTTAAAAGTATATGTAAAATAAAAATCTAAATTCAACTGCATTGGGTTTTCATTTTTTCTGTCATTTAATCATTCCTTTTAATTAAATATATAATGTCTCACGGACAATTGATTTATTTGCAAATTGAAACTACCCTTAAACTTGAAATAATTAGTTAATTATTTAAAAAATAATTTAATACATTTCAAAACTCATTAAGATAGTCAACTTTTTCGAAATTCTGAATTAATATAAAACAGACACTCGCATCAAAAGTAAATGAGTTGGTATATAACTTTAGGAGGTAATTTATTGATAAAAATATTTCAAGAAACATTTACATTGAAAACATATGCGCTATATAAAAGGATTCAATTTGAGTTTGGTAGATTTAAGCTTACTTTGCGTTTTAAAACAATTGGCTAAATTTTTAATATCCTGAGAAGCAGCTTTAAAAAAATACGGTATTTAGAAACATCTAATTCTTCGGCTTATCGACTTCATTTTATAATTCAGATATAGTGAAAAATAATAATAACAATAGTAAACTTGTCGAACAAGCAGCGCCTTATAGAATAAGAATTAAATCAAGCCTTGCGCGGGAAAAACTTACGCAACGTAATTTCATAAAAGCAGAGTATTTTGATATTGTTGTGCGGGTTTAATGTTACAAGTAGTCTTATAGAAGTGATTTAAACTTTGAAAAACTTTTCAATAATTACTTTACGCTTCATTTACAGCCTCTAGAAAAAAAACAAAATAAAGGTGTGTCAATCGTCTCCCCTCCATGAGAACGTAAACAAATTTGAATTAGCTCAATATAACTGACCTACCCATGTTGTCTCTCTTTTTCTTGATTGCAGTTTGCTATGCCTATATAGGTACTGTTGTCGGCTACTGCGTGCAAAGTCAGACTGCAGTTTTTGCTATTGCCAATCGCACATTGTGGGCGACTCTTGCGCTCTGGTTATCTTTTCGATTGTTACTGGGGTGATAATCGTACTATTTTCACAAATAGTCGTATTTTATATAAAAAAATGAGTGCAACAGAACCAGAAAACGTCAGTGATCTACTGCTAAAACTGGTAGCATCAGTTTGCGGTGATCAAAAGCCAGGTGAGGTTATATTTATGAATTATTATTGGAACTTTTTAGACAGGCTCTCTCATATTAGCAGCCTTTTTATGTTTTTTTAGTCTGTACACAATTTACTTTTAATTTTGTTCCTTTTATTTCTCTTTATTTGTCCAAGAACAGAAGTCTTACAGAAGTGCATGCGATTTTCCTTGAGTTTGTTGTCCTCGACACAAGGAGTTGACCCATTGAGAGAGGATGAAACTATGGTTGCTAATCAAATTAAGAGTAAATTATCTGAACAGGATGGAGCTCTTTTCGATGAATTGCACAACAATCTCAAAGATGGGGTACGTCAATTTAAAGTTCTCAAATATTTTGGCAATGAAAAGTAGCAATAAATTCATCAAAAAATTTTTATAGGATTTGAGAAATAGACTCGGAGCTCTAAGTTTTTTGCTTAGAATGAGTCAAAATAAGGACAAAGTGCTTGAAGATAATTTTACCTTTCCTGAAATGAGATTAGGTCTAAATCTTGCTGCAGCATCAACAAGTGGTAAACTTTTAGTTACAATAGCATATTAATCTTATTTGTAATATGATTTTTAATTTTTGTTGTTCAATTTTTTTCAGGGTACAGTTCACAAACACACAGCTCTCATCAAGCGCAAGTAGTTACTTTCACTCCTTCAGAAGCAACTATGCTTGGACCTTCTTCAAATCCGAGTAGAATATTTGATGAAGATACCACCTCTGAAAATATTCTTGTGCAAGATCTAATTTATTCATTTCAAGGAATCGAAGGAAAAGTGTTAAAGCTTGATACCAATTATGGCTTCCAATTAGATCCAAAGATCAAAATCACTCATCCACAAAAACAAGCTGTTTTGAGGCTTAGCGAGCTTGGATATTTATACAATACGATACAACGAGGTTTAAGTAGAATGTCCACTGGCAGTAATGGGCGAGTGTCTGATAGTTTTGTTGCTGCAATGCATCAAGAATTATCAGAATATTATAGATTTATAGCCAATGCACAGGAAGAAGTTAATAGAGTTAGAGATCCATCAGGGATTGATAGAATAACTCTTTCACATCTTCATGTTTGGGCATATGATCCTCTTGAAACCCTTAAATGGCTTGCCAGTATAGTGAGAGCTTGTATAGGTTTGAATGGCGGTGCTCTTGCTTCAGCAATTTATGCTTTTAGTCATCATGGTGATCCAAGGGTAAAAAAACTTATAAAAAGAATACTAGAAAGTGTATCTGAACCTCTGTACAACATGCTATTGAGGTGGATAACAGACGGAGAGTTAGATGATCCATATAAAGAATTTTTTATTGAATCATGTGCTGAAGTTGCTGGAGAGCGAATGTGGCATGAAAAATATCAAGTAAGAGATTCTATGGTGCCATCTTTCATAAGCAGATCTCAAGCCAAAAAGATATTATGTACTGGAAAAAGCATAAACTTTTTAAGAGAGGTTTGTAAAGATTTCGCACCTTTACAAGGACATGACACAGAAGTATTTCGAGATTCATCTAAAAAAATTGGAGGTAAAAAAAATTTAACATGTAACTTGTAAATCATTGGATCTTTTTAACTTATTTTAAATTAATTTTTAGTTGAGGCGTTTTTTGATAGTGATCCTGATGGACCACTACAAATGATGATGGATGCTGCATATAAAGAAACTTCAACAAGAGTTGTTGAAATATTATTGAAGCAGTATCAGTTGATGGATCATTTGCAGGGTATTAAAGGATACTTACTTTTGGGTCAAGGGCACTTTGTTCAACATCTTATGCACCTTTTGGAGTAAGTATACTAAAAGTAGATAATCTAAGAACGTTTATAACATTTATAAAATTGTTTTTAAAAGGAAATCGCCTTATACATTTAAATTTATATTGATATGTTACCCACATTTTTTGTTAAATAATTTTTTCACAAATTCTAGGCCAGAACTTGCCAAACCTGCTAATTCGTTGTACCCTCACAATATCTCGTCGATATTGGAGTCTGCCGTTAGAGCAACTTGCACCAAATTGGACGATTTAGACGTTCAGAAGAGGCTTGATGTTAGATTATTAGCGCCCTCAGAAAATGAAACGGGTTGGGATATTTTTGCTCTTGATTACAATGTCGATGGTCCCATTGGAACGGTATTAATCTTAAGATACTAATTGAATTAAAATAAAATCATTATCTTTTACAATGTTTATTATTTTTTAGATTTTAGAACCAAGTCGACAAACTTATCAAGCAGTGTTTTTTTCGCTTTGGCGAGCTAAACGTATGGAGTCAATTTTATCAGCCATATGGAAGCAACAAATTACATCCGCGAAAATGTTTCGAAAAATGCCAGAACTGTTGCCAATTCAAAAATATATTCACTTGATCACTAGTAGTATGGTTCATTTAGTTCATCAAATGCAGTATTATTTTTTATTTGAAGTATGCAAATATTATTATCTTTTAATTTTGTTGAATTGTAATTATTCATAAAATTATTTGCTTTAGGTGATTGAATGTTCCTGGGATATTTTTACCAAACATCTAGGCCAAGCTGCATCTTTGGATGATATTATATCAGCACATACCAACTTTATAAATTCGGTTAAAAGAGGCACACTACTTGACGAACAATCACAAGTATAATAATTTTTTTAATGGAACCAGGAAACAAAATTACATTATTTATAATAATTTATTATTTTAGGAACTCATGCATCATTTGCGCACCGTGTATAATCCAATTTTAGAGCTACAATTATTAGAAGAAACATTTCTCGCCCGCGCTAGTGCAGAATACGAAGCACGAACTGTATCCGAAAAGTTTATTGAAGAAGGTAGCGAAAATCAAAAGCAATGGGGTCGTTCAAAAAATAAAGATAGCGAAGCCGCAGATCGTCGAAGTGCGTTTTTAAAGTATCTCAGTACTACTTCCATGAAACTCAAACTATTATCAAGAACTTATCAGGATAGAGTTAAGAAATTTTTACTCATGTTAGCTTCTGCTGAAGATGTGTCATTACAGTTGTTGAGCGTTCGTTTAGATTTTAATGAGTATTATATTAGTAAAGATAGCCGTTTGGTAGCTCCTCTTACCTATCAGCATAGACGACAAAGCGACCAATCTTTCATCGCAGATAAGTGACAAACGTCACCTGAAAACCAAAAAATGAAAGATGAGTACATGACTTCTCGTTTGTCTGACATAGTGCCACCGAATGTAAATGAATGTCTTGAAGAAAGCAAATTGAATTTAGAAGATGTTACATGTGCAAAGGGACTTCCTGAAAGTTTTTCCAATTTTAATAGCTTACATGAATCTAAGAGAAATGTTCAGTTTTTCCATTCAGAAGATGAAACATTAAGAACTCCGGATATTGATCTTAGTAATTCAAGCTTCAGGGAAAAATTATTTGGTCTATCTTCAGAAGAAATGGATTCTGCATTAATGCAAGAATTTCAAATAGACAAAAACGAGCATCAAGATGAAAACTCAAGTAATACAGCTCAATTGCTTGTTACTGGAAATTGTACCATAGAAAAAGCAGAATTGCCACATGTTAAAAAACAACATCTTTTGGGAGGAAATTCTAATTCTACATTATCATCTCCCATATCCTCTTCTCACAGTGATGCAAACCAGTCAAATAATATCACATCTCCTACTAATTCGCTATCTAGCATTGATACTGTTCTTAAAAAACCATGCACTTCAAAAGCAGGAAATTTTTTATCATCTAGAAGAATTAAAAGGAAAAAAATAATATTTTGCTGTGTTGAATAATTTGAAATGAATTTCAACAATTACATATCTTGTTTTTTGTTGCCATAACTGTAATTGTAAGTTGTAATTGTTAATTTACTGAATATTTGTTATTCCCACTAGCAATTTGAAACACCTAAATTTTTGTTAGTAATTAATCTAAAAATAATTATATTATTTTTGTATGTACATTTTCATGAATTTATTACTTTTATTATCCTCCTTCATTGAATCATGCTTTCTAACATTGATAATTGTGATATCAAATATCAATATTAAAATATATTGACCAAAACAAAAATCTTGAATGTAACTATTTAATAGCTTTTCAAGCATTAATCTCGTCCTATTAAAATATACTTCTTGCAAAATATTTTATTATTTTAAATTCAATAATACACATTATTATACATTCACATCAAGTACATGTTGAAATTTGTACTTATTCTTCTTCATTTTCTAAATTGATATTAGCTTTACCAAACTTAGCATATAATTGTGTTTTTAAGTCAGACATCAAAGATTCTAATGCTTTACATTTGCTTTCCAAGTCTTTGATATCAGATTCTTTTTCTTTCTTTGCATCTTCCAAGTACACCTGCAAATAGATATAATATAAAAATTAACATTATTAAAATATAGCTAATAGTTGAAGGTTCCCATCATTTACTTACTTGAGTTTGATCAAGATTTTCATGTACAAAAACTTCTCCAAGATGATAAGGAATTTGAACATCATCATCAAACAGTTCTATCTCACTAACTGCATCATTAATATTTTGCAGATCATTCTAAAAAAATTCCAATCAAGTTATGAGAGTCTTGAAATTTAGCACATTTTGAATAAATAATCTAATATTAGCATATCTTTATAAGGCAATACATGACCGAAAATCGCTCACACAACTATGAAAACTTAGTCAATGAAAAAAATAGTTCTCACCTGTGCAAGTCTTAATTCATCTTTGTAATCTTCAAGTTTGGCATTGAGTCTGGCAAATCTGTTTATTTTTTGTTGATCCTCGAAGGAGATGTGAACGTCGGAGTCCTAAAAATAAATAAGACATGCTTTCTAACCTCATTCCACAAAAAATAAAACTGAGAATGGTTCCAAACTTAGACTCACCGACTTAATTTCGGTTCTGCTTGCCATGTTACAAATAAATATTGGAACTTTGAAAGATATAGATAATTTTTATACAATAAAAAAGCACCGATATGAAATTATTTTCGGAACCAGCAATTCTGGAGTAATGTGTACAGTGTACACTAGTTTATGCTATGCTCACTGATATTTCAAACTCCCACGCTCGTTCACAACTTCTGTTGATGTCTGATGAAGTTGGTCGCAAACTCACAAGTCTTAAAAATAAGTTGTCCCGCGATTCGTTTTGGAAGTTCAAAACAGCTTTTGACTGCTAATATGCATGAGATACTTATGAACGTGATATCGAAAAAAGATAAAACTAGTGTTGTAATTCCGTCAATAGCAAAAATCTTTATTTATGTTTATTGAAGGGCTAAAACTTTGTAAACCTCCCCATAATGACATTGAATAGATTAAATTTAATATTTTTATATTTATCAAGTACAGAGGAGATCAAATGAGAATTTGAATCAGTAAACACTTTTGTGAACTGTTGTAAAAGTGTATAACGAATGTTGGCTGTCAAATGACCCAATGATAATAATCATCGTCGATGATAATAAATTGTCGTTAATATTGTCTTGCATTAATCGTAGCCTTGGATATGCTACTGGGTTGCATAGGGCATACAGATTCTCGATTTGCCATTGATGTGCAAGCATGAGGTTTGGCTAATCGCTATTGGTGCTGCGACTCTGCAGATCGACATTGAGCATTCGACAGTCCATGCAGGCAGTCAAGAGAGCCGAGCGAGTACATGAACTTTCAGCGCAGCCTTTCGTATATGTATTGGCTTGGCATTGCCTATATCGTAGTAGTTGTATTTTGCGAAAAGTTTGGCTGATTCACCGAGGCGCGGATGCAGCAGCGCTTCGACCGCACGAGCGGTGGAACGCAAAAACTTTTGCGAGAGGAGACAGCAGCAGCCATACTTGCGCGTATATAAGTTGTATAGGTTGTAGCTCGAATAATTGCAAAAGATATAGCTATATATAGGATAGGAATAGATGGAGCATTGTTGGGTCGTGCCGCGGCGCGCAGTGAACGGCTGCAACAGCCCCGAGAGAGACTCGGCTCGAGTCAACTGCTGCAGTGAGTGAACTGTATATAGCGTGTGTTATTGCACGCCGATATAGCTATATATACATCGTTGTATGTGTATTAAGTATATATAGAGAACTGCACCACTACTAGCTGCAGACCAACAAACACATGTATAGGCGAGCTGGCCGTAGGTAATTTGCGGCGCGTACAGCTCGCATACATAGTACATGTACATGATAAGGTAAAGGCAGAGACTAGTGCGGAGAGAAGTGCACGACAACGGCATACCAGCATACCAGCATACCAGTCTGCCAGTCTCTCGCCGTGCATATACTGCATACGGTGCAACAGAAGTACACGCACACACACACACGTATATACAAACACAAACACGCAGTACTACGCACACGAGAGCAAGCACAGAGCGCGATATACATGCACTACTGTGCGGACATTGGACTGCAGAGTGCAGATACAACTGCACCGTGTGATACTATTGCGGAGTGCGGCTATAAGCATTTGTAATTTGTATCGGCGTTCCGCGCCTGAGACAATCGTTGCAGCACCAAGTCGGCGTCGTCGTCGCCGCCGCCGCTGCCGCACACTTTTCGTTCGCGAAATATTTAACCATGCGCCAAGCATCGCCAATGTTGTGCCCGCTGCCTACGAGCTGCATGTGCAACTAGCCTCGACGGCGCAGCTATCGGTGTGCCAGTGCACTCTGTGAATCCTGTGAATTGCCTAAGTCCCGTGCAGTTGCATTTGTCGGACCCGTCCTACGTCGGTCGCGACTCTCGCTCCTATAGTGCAGCCCTGAAGCCACTTCGGGCAGCAAGAAAACAACGAGAGACAAGGAGGCGGCAGCGCAACGACGCAGCTGGACTCTCCTCGCGATTCACTGGCCTTAGCGTAATAAATTATAAGCCATTGGCCGATCAGAGCTACTATATAGCCGCCGCATACGACTCACTGGCCTAAGCTCCGATCGCGGCTCACGCAACTTGCCTCGACTTCGATACAACGAGTTGGAGCACGCAGTTCTGCCCGCTGATTCCTACCTGCTCCGCGGAGAAAACGCATTTGCAGCGTTGCGCCGATTGCTGATCGTTCCTCGCTACCTCCTGTCCATCGCAATTGTACGCGCATAGACACGAGTGACCGAGTCGACGGATACACGCAACGTATTTACAGCAAAGTGCCGCCTAAGGCTTATTTACCTCGAGGGCGAACTGCAGCAGGAATGAGCGAGCCCGCGGCCAGTCGCACTGACAGCGAGAGCAGTAGCAGCAACATGGGCGACGTACTCACCAAAGAGCAGCAGGCGACGTACTCGACCACGGCATCCTCTTCGGCGTCTTCCAGCAAAGACGAGACCGACGAGCCTTGCACACCTAGAACGTCGCCGGCTGATCTGCTCGACGAAGATGACAATGACGAAGACGACGACAATGACGATCGAGCCAACGACGAGGAAGATGAAGACGAAGATGATGAAGACGACGATGAAGACGATGACGATGATGAAGAAGACGACGATGACGACGATGACGACGATCGAGTCGATGTCGACGATGAGGATGACGAGGACGAGCTTGCCAAAATACTCATACCTAAGGTAACTAATTTACTATTCTTACCTGCCCATTCTGACACAAGTCGCTCTTTAGCCAATTTAATGACAACTTTTTAATTTTTTTCTCGTCTTGTCTAGGATCTCGCTGCTTGCAACTTGCTGGACAGCGATAAAGCCACTGCCAATAACGTCTCGCACAGAGAAAGCACTGACAACGACGACGATTCGTTCGATAAACTTGTCGCGCTTACTAGCGAGCTTTCGGTTAGCGAACGTCAACAAGCAGCTCAGCATAAAGTTGATACAAGTATTATGAATAATAGAGGAGCTAAAAAAAAGACTGATACCACCACTGACAGTGCCAGATGCAGTGCAACTTCTACTAATGCTACTACTAATACTAACTTTGTCAAACCTTTTCTCAATGGTGCTGCTGGAACATTTGAAAATACTGTCAATACCATTGAAAGCGGTATTGGCAAGTTGAAAATGGACCTCAATGCTGCAAGTATTAACATTGAAAATATCCCTCACATGACAGATATCACTAGTGATACTGTTGACGGAGCAGAGGAAAAATCAAATGAAGCTCAAGAAAATGCAGCTGTACTTGAATTCAAACAGCTGTGCCATTCTAAAGAAGCAGCTGATGATGATTCGTGCAATTGTGAAGACTGTAAATGGAAAAAACAGTAGGAAAAATTATTTTACTCTGATTTATTTTCTACCTTTTACATGTCGATGTAATATTTTTGTTTTTTTTTATTTTTATATTTATAGAGATCTGACAGCAGAAGATTTACAAGAAATGATGAAGTTGAGGTGTCTTGGTATGGAGTTAAGACAGTATATAAGATACACTTTCAATTGGTTTATGACCACTTCTGGATTCTCCCCTTCTATTCAACCTCCGTGCCTAGATTTAGATTCATTTGAAAATTTTGTAGAACTTCGTGAATCTGTGGTGATGTTAGTTTTCAATGATTTAAATTAAAATTTTCAAGATAAATTGCTGAATGCTATTTTCAGAACTAATGGAAGTAACTAATATAATTGATTTTTTATTTTTTATAGACTATGTGAAAGAGTACCTTACCATTTATTCAGATGGCTTGTGGGACAGGCTCAAGAATTTGTGATTGGTGTTAAAGTTCAATTGGTTACTCTTTTATACGATCATTCTATCAATAATTTACCAGAAGTTTTTTTAACAAGTTAGTATATTGTATGCTAGAAAAATCATTAATAGTAAATTTATACATTTCAAAATTAATCATTGCTTATCAATTAGAATTGCTTGATGGATATGAAGCTGTATTAGCAACTGCAGTGTATATATCTGACCTATTGGAACCATTGCATACAGTTCTTTTAAGTAAAGTTAATTTGACATGGGGGTACATAAATAAGAGTTTGTATCAGCACTACGTTTATAGTGATCCTTTGATACAAAATAATTTACCTCCATTCATTGGACAGGTATTATTTCATTTTAACATACCAAATTTTTCAAAATCATATAAATTATCAATCTTATTTAATATATTTCATTACTTAGTTAAGGAAACATGTGCCACTTAAAGGTTCAGAATTTTATTATCTTGTGCATCGATATCTTGCATTCGATGATGAAATAACCAAAGTTGGACCTTTATGTCCAGAAATTGAACGGTTAATCGATAAATATAAGTGAGTATTATGCCATGCCATTTAAACAAAAATTTTATTGAAAGTTATTACAATTATTCATTGTATTACAGTGCAGAGCAAGTTACTGGTTCTGTTATGAAGAAAGTAAGGGAAGACTTTGAAAGATTCAAAACCAGACTGAAACATTCAAGTAGCGATGCAACTAAAGAATCTGATAAAGAATTGGAAGAAGAGTTAGTTTTTATAACTTTTTTCTTGCCAGTAGTAAAAATTTCAAAATAAAGCATATATTTATTTTAATATTAATACCTTACAGTGTTAATGCAGTACAAAATGAAATAAAAAACCTGGATTTACAGTCGTGCAATCTTCCAAATGCATTCGAAATACAAAGTATGTTTAATGATTGGAAAAAATCTCCTCAACAGAGGCTTGCTGATTTAGTAGAAGCACTAACTTTTTCATCTACATTAGCAGATGATAAGTCGAGAGCAGCATCAAAAGAAAAAAAATGCTACCCTTCATGTTTAGAAAAAACAGTAAAAGAGAATATTCGTCAAACTTATGTATGTGGTGAAACTTCTGTTCATCCATCTGGTGGCCTTATTAGCTGGGGATTTTCTCCACCGGGTGCCAAAGAGGTGAGAATAAAATCATAATTTATGTTCATTATATTTGTCATTTCCAACCTACAGTAACATTTTGCTTCCGCCGAGCAAAATCAAAATATTACTTTAGGACGTGAGATTCACAAAAAACTGTATTTGCACCTATGAATCAAAAAAAGTATATCTCAAAGCACGTTTAGCTGATAAATTACACTTGCTCTAAGACTTTCCAATTTTTCACTTCCTAGGTGCAAAATATACTATCATCTTTCAATTGTCGTCATATGTTACATTTTATATTTTTAGTGGAAAAAAGGAGATATTGTTGAATTTTTGCCAGCCAGTAAATATATTGAGACCCTCAAAGACAAAGAACGGCCAAATATTGAAATTAATTTAGATTTTGAATTTAAAAATTTAATAGGTATTTATTGTAACCTTACAATATCATTAATTTTTATGTCCAATAACTTGATAATATTTAATTATGTATTTATCTTAATAAGCAAAACATGGAGATAACAAGGAGACAGCTGCTGCTATCCCATCCTGTGCACCACAACCAGCGGTGTTGACGCAAACTGTTGAACCAATAAAGGAGCCTGTAAAAAAAGTATCAAAAACCTCAATGGCCCAAACAGTGCAAACTCAAACTAGACACTCAACTACACAAACTCCAAGTACAAATAGCCATAATACTACCCATGTACATCGTCATCAAGGCAGATGTGAGTATTCAAGCTAGTTATGTTCTTTATCATGGCTTTTTTCATTACATACATTTATATTTCAATGGCATTCGCAAATGATTTTTAGTCATCTTGGTATTATAGGGAAACATTTCCTTCATTTTTTTTTGCACAGGTCCTTCTCATACGCATATGCATGGAAACACATCCAACAATGTATTTAAATTAGGTTCTGGCTCTCATCGAACCCATGTAGGACATAACAATCATCCATCAACACCATCCTGTCATAAACAGCAGCATATTGTTGAACATATAAAACGATTGCCAACCAGTGACTGTAATTATTTTTCCATAAATCTTTTAGTTTTCTTAATATAATTTATATAATCTTTTGATGTTCTAAACAAAATTAAGATTGTTATCAATTACCGATTTAAGGTTATCAAAGATTCGAAATGTGAAGACAACTATTTCTGAGACCATTTCACGTTTTTTGAATTATTGTCAGAATCTTTAGTTAATTCCATTTTTTTTGCTTAACTTTTGTTTTCGAATTCAAAAATAAAAAAATAAATATTTTGGCGATTTTTTAGTGAGTCCTGGAGAAAATGGTGAATGTTCCGATTCGGCTAGCAGCCACGGTGATTCTTGCTCGGCAACAAACAGTCCAACACCTAGAGATTCCAATAGACATTGTGATTGCTGTTATTGTGAAGTATTCGGTCATGGTGTTGTAAGTAACTTTTGTTGACATATTTGTAAACGTTCACTGTAAACAAAACTTTAGCCTCTTCTCACTGTAACAGAAAGTAGTACAGAAAATATTATACCTTACTCATAATAGATTTGTTCAAGGCTACTGTATACACGCATGTTTAGTTATTTGTTAAAATGAGCGATTGTGGGTGTGCTTTTTGTCGCGATGGGGACTGTGAAATTTCTGACGGGGAAGAGGAAACATGTGATTGTTGTTATCATGATTATATTACACAAGCACGTTTATTTATACACATTATAATTTTTTATTGTCTTAGCCAAACAATTATAATAACAGTAACTAAAAATTACAGCCATCGGTTGCACCAGTGAGCCGTAACTACAATGAAATGCGGGAGAGGCTCAGACAGCTTCTTTCAAAGAAAAAAGCTAAGGTCTGTAAGGCTACATATTCTCCTCTTCCTGTGACATCTGTCGAAGTTTCACTGTCATCGTCCTCTTTATCTTCATCTTCGTCGACTTCTTCTACGGCTACAAATGGCAGCGGAGGTGCCGGTGTCAACGGAAGCGCTGTAAATGCTGTCCAAAGCAATGCGTCATCACTGCCACATCCAGCTACGAGAACCAATATAGCCTTGACTGCCAATTTAAAGTCTGTTTCACAAACCTTGAACTCAAGTAATGTAAAACCGACGAATGTAACTCGAGGGACTGCTCCAGTCAAGATAAAAGACGATTGGAATATCGATGCCGCTATTGAGTTTGTAGAAGGCACTCAGTCGGGAAAAAAAGATATGAAAAAAGCCGAGAAGAAAGCTCGACAAAAGCAGCGAAAGGTACAAATAATTGTAAATAATACGTCCATGAATGCCTTATTGATTAACAAAAAATTATTTCAGCTCGAAGAAAAATTGCAAAAGGATAAAGAAGAAGACGACAAGCTAAGATTAATCGAACTCCAGAAAAAAGCATCCGAGATCTCTATAAGCGTCGTTAATTCTCAGACTAAAGCCTCACAGAAAAGTCAACGTAAACTACCTGAAGTACCTAATGTTTCATTACCTACTGCAATGGCGAATAAACAACAGCAAAACTTAAACTCAAAGAAAAAAAATAGTATCGCCACTAATGCACCAACAACAATTGCAGTAAACATTAACAATAAGAACAGTAAAAATAAGTCTGGGTTGGTGTCGACAACTACCACGCAAACTACTACTTTTACAGATACATCCACAACACACACATTCAAGGTAGACAATTCAAAACAAAAGAAGACGGCTAATGCAGATAAGAATAACCAAATGCAATCTAACAATAAATCAAAAGGAAAAAGTAGCAGTAATGTAAGCCAGATGAAAGCTGTTGAAATACCAACTGCAGACGAGATTGATCTTGCTAGTATGACAAAAAAAGAAAGAAAAAAACTCCGGCGACAAATGGAAAAACAAGAGGCTCTCAAGAAAGAACAACTAGAAAATAATCAAGTTTCTGCTTCGGGACAACAAGGTGGTGACAATATGCAAATTGTTACTATAAAACGGATCTTAGAATCAACAAGTACTGAGCCAACTGTCACGATAACGCTTAAAGGTCAAACGCCAGCAGAAGATAGGGTACTTTTTACTTTAGTCAATGGACAGACTAAAGCACTTACAGATGAAAAAAATCAGACAAGTGGCAAAAAAAAGAAAAATAAAACTGGTAATAGTACTGAACAACTACAAACATCACAGCAGCAACAAAATCAGCCAACTAATAGTAATAAATCTCAAAAGTCACAAAACAATCCTAATAATAATACGAATAAATCTAAGGTAGATCAAAAACAAGATTCTAAAATCACAAAGCAACAACAAAAAGTTCAACAACAGCAACAATCGCAACAGTCTTCTAAAGATAAGAATAAAAATAAAATTTCAGAGGAACAGAAATCTAATCAACAGCAACAACAAGTTACAACAGAAGTTAAAAGTACAAAATCTAAAAAAGACAAAAAGAACAGTGAAAATAAAGAAAATGCCACTAAACAAGTTAATGAAACATTACTAAAACAAGACATGAACACCAATAAGAAATCAAAAAAGACTGGAGGGCAACAGCAGCAACAACAACAACAACATCAACAGCAACAGCAACAGCAACAACAACAACAGCAACAACAACAACAACAACAACAACAACAACAAGTAAATGCTAGCGGTAAAAATGCTAAAACAAACAAAAGCCAAAAAAAGAATCAAGTTAACAATCAAACACCTACAACCACAAAGGGTAATAACAATCAACAAACTTCTATGCAGGCCAACAATCAAAAAGCGTCAAAGCTTAATCAAAATACGACAAACCAGCAAAAACAAACCCAACAGCACCAACTCAGTCCCCCTGCTCAAATGGCAAAAAAAGATGCGATGGAAGGTTCGTCCGCATCGCGTAGGGAATCAGCGAATAACCTACCTATTAATATCGGTAATATCAAACTTCCACCGGGCATTACTTTAACGAAAATTCATGTCATACCAAAACTTCCACCGACCAAATCAACTCCCATTACACCAAAACCAGCGCCTGTGACTCAACTGCCTAAACAGCAGACAATCATAGCTTCACCTATGAGTATGCATTCAAACTTTGGATCCCCTCAAGCAAACAACAATGTTATTGTAGTCGACACCGGAAAATTGAAGCAAGAAATGTCTTCAAACCAGCCGCAACCTACTGAATCGAAGAAAAAAAAGAAAAAGAAGAATAAAGCTGCGGCCGCAGCTGCAGCTTCAGCTTCAGCTTCAGCTTCAGTAGGTAATAGCAATGGACCGATGTCTTTCTTAAGTGGAAATCCTGAATCGGCTCGAATTGAGCACAATCCTGCCACGAATATGGTGACTATAAGAAATCCAGCCTTTGCAATGCCACCGCCAGTGAAAACTGAATCACCTCCTCAATCACAGGCTGCTATAATTAAATTACAAGATAACGGCACAGTAACAATTCGTAGTCCGGCGTTACAACAAGCAATCAATGCTGGAATAGCTCAACCTTCTAAGCCTGATTATATATTCAAAGGATCACCCCCTAAATCAGAACCCACCAGAGTAAGTATTTTTCTTATTTATATTCATTGAAATCGTTAATGTGCACTTGACGATCAAAGTATAACGTTATTTTGTCCTTGTAGCAGCCAACGAGCAGTAATAATAGCTTTATGGACAGCGGTGATTTATTAAGTGTCATGCGAGGTTCTAATACCTTACCCTTACCAGCGGAAATGTCTGAATTGCGGAGACGATTAGGCCCTCAACAACCAGCAAGCGATTTCGACCGTTACAGTAGTGGTTTACCTAGTATTCAAATAAGTAAAGTTACAAATGGTCAGACACCAAACATACCTGAAAACGGAATTCACCTGAAAGGTACGAGCGTGACGCTGACAAAAATAAAAAGTCCCCAAGTAGAAGAAGCTGCAGCGATGTTGCAGAGGCCGAGTGGCCAGGTGCAGCAACAGCAGCAACAGCAGCAGCAAAATAGCGCGAGTAGCAAAATTAGCAGTAAGAAGAAGAAGCGTGGTAGTGGTGCGAGACCCGGCGGTGATGACTGGAACCTCGTTGGTGAGAAACAGCAATGATAAGCCTCCTCCGCACCCTCTCGCACATAAAATATAACTCCTTACACCAAATGCTTGTCGCTTGATCCCAAAATCGGCTGTCGCTTTAGCACCTTTTATTACGAGTAGGCATATCAAGTTCTTTTTTGTGGATTAATTTATTGTTTTGTACTTTCAAGTTTTGTAGATTTATGATTTTATAAGTACAAAAAAGGATTTCTTACTCTTATAATTTTTTTTTTTTAAGTAGGTGAACTGATTGAAGCATGTGGATTTTTTTTTCCTGTTTGAATTTTTTTGTACGACCATTGTATGCTAATAAATAAATCGACTGTTTCAACGAAAATTTTATTTTAATTATTTTACGTATATTTACGTTTGTGACATTATAAATAATCTGCTTGACTGGTTTTAATTATATAATTAAAAAATGCATGTTACAACAAAAATCAACACAAATAAAAATTTGAATTTTTGAAATGGTTGAATAAGCAGCTATGCAAAACTGCTTCGAAGTAGTGAGCGAAATTGAGAGTGAGAGAGCGAGAGAGAGAGAGAGAGAGAGAGAACGAGAGAACGAAAGCAAAGTCCCAAAAATAGCTAAAAGGGCGTGCGACAAATGCGCGACAGATGCCCTCTGTTTCTCTTCTCCAGTCCTTCAATATTTTTTGTCCTGACGCCTTTATATACGTATTGTATATACATATATATTTAGCGCTAATGTTTGTGCATTTCAGAGAGTGTTTTCACGCCGAAGGACATAGACTTGGAAGATGGAGAAATGGACGATGCTGAGCGTGAACTCGAAGCATTCAAACGTTTTTGTTTGCAATCAGTGCCACCACCCCGCAAGGAAAAAGTCAATCTCAATATCAAGGACATTGTTTTGAAAAAAAAATCATCATCCGCAGCGGCAGCTGTAGTAGCTGCCATTTAACTTCTTTTAATTCACAAAACTGCAACAAAGTTGCAAATTTTCGTGCATATCTATCACCTACATTTTTTTTCATATAATTTTTTTTACAAGAGAGTACTTTGATTGGTAAAGATAGATGCTATTCTATCTACTTTGTTTACATGTATAAAAGTATGTTTGTTTGATGGTCATGTTTTTTTGTTTATTTACACACTTTCGTGGTCGAAACAGTTCTCATATTTGGTTTTCATTCGATTGACTTGTTATTAAAAAATGTGCATACCTGCGATGTTCATCCCCTCGAAATGGAAACATCAATGTGTATTTTGCTTACACAATACTTTGTACATTACAAAAAATCACTTATCTAACGATGTTTTTAAGCGTGTCAAACATGACGATAATTTTTGCAATTGGTGATGACGACGAAGCTATCGTGACAACGTGTGATTATAATTAATTAAGTTACACAAGAATATTATACAGTTAGAGTGAGGTATATGCGTATGGAAAATGCAAAATGCTCAACGAAAAATTGTAAGTTTCTTTCCAGTATGCCGAGAAATTTTTCACAAAACTTACATACATACAGACGCATATACGCACTTGAATCGTATAAAAACATTCACCGTAGATATTCCTTTTGCCTTATTATGTATTCATAAATACATATGTAGATTATGCATTAACCGATAGAGTACGAAAAAGGTCTCACTGGGAATATTCTTACGCACTTTATAGTGTAAACTATTTACTATTTCTTTTTTCACTTACTACCGTATATTATTATTACTTTTAATTGATTATATTTAGAATATAGTCGAAAGAATCGTCGAGTTTTCGCTGCGCGATGAAATTGAATAGATGCATGAGCCGAGGTATGCGTTTGTACTATCGCTCGGTGTATACGTATATTCATATAAAATATGTAAAATTATGTATGGTGCATCTGCGAGATTCAATGATGTATACTTCATTACTGATATCTACATTTGTCTCGACTGGAGAATATAAAAGACTCGAATGTAATACATTCTCAGTGAGTGAAATTTCGTGGCCCTCGCCAAACGAATGTATATTTCTTCGTGTGTCTCAGCACATTCATTATATATAAATAATAAATAAAAAAAGTGCGGATGTATTCGATAGACTGCGCGAGGCGCTTACTCGTAATATGACTTATTTTCACGGCGAATATGTATATATACTTGCAGGTATATGAGTTACTATATACTTGCATTCTATACGAAATAAACATAAGTTTCATTATTACAAGTTTTGTTGCTCACTTATTGATGATAAGTTAGAAGATGTAAAAAATAATGCTAATCGAGGATAAGAGCGACTGCGCTCGAATAGAAATAGGCACGAGCGCGCACTTGCGAGACGAGCTTGCAAGAAAAGGAGGAAACGAGACTTGTCGCAGAGCGACGAATGAAATAACGATCGATGTAAACTTCCGCAGCATGTGTAGAGAGAGAGACGCGGTTTAGTCATCGTTATGTAGGCAGCCGATGTATAAGTCGCCTGTCATAACAATGCGTGCATATTGTCCCGAGGCATATACCGATAACGAACTCTGAGCATTTCTCGCTCTCGTTGCAAGGATAAAAATGCAATTTTAATCAGTGTTTAGAGTCAGTCGAGAAAAGTCGCTTCTATCTTCGACAAACACGTCTATTTTTTGCGTGGTAATATTAATTTCAAAGCTATAAAATGCTCTCTTCTCACCTACATTATATCGGTATAAATATACCGAGTAAGTATACGGGCGCAAGTATATTAATAGCTCGGTTCGAGGCACAAGACTATAAAACGACGCTTTGAAAACACATCGCTCGTTCATCCCAAAAATGCCTAGACTTTTTCAGACTCATTCGTCGTTGGTTTGACGAATTTTCAACCTTGAAACGAGTGCAGTGCGCTTTCAAATGAGTATATGTATATATATAAATGTCATTCTGCCCTAAAAGTAGCTCCCCTGCACGCACGACCCCAGCAAAAAAGCGAAGGTACACGTTTAACGTGCAGAGGTTCGCAGGAGGGCTGCAGCCGAGTTATTTTCGGACGAGCTGCCGCGCGTAGCCGCACACATGTCTATATATGCAGCGCTGCAGCGAGCAGAAAAAAAGATTCGGTCAAGTCTTATCCGATAGCTGTTGAGGTGTGTACGCCGCGTCGCTCAATTCAGACTCCACATATCCACAGAGTCTAATATCGCGCGATAACCTCGAATCGCATCGGCATTCGGACGCGCGGCGTTGAGAGCCGCACGCGAAAAATTCCCAGTTATATACAAAACGTAAATTCGCGCAAGTATCGATAGAGCCCTACGGACCGTGAATCATTTTCTTTTGTAGCCAAAGCTTTTGTATGCGAGGGCGAAAATGCAATCTTACGAACACAATCAGAATTAAAAGCTTTGATGGAAAACTTGGCGGATGCGAACGTTCGTAGCGGCGACGATAACTCGACGACGGCAGATCGGGCCCTCGTAGGTTAGTAGGCTGCTACTGCGACCGGGCTCGCGATTCGACTCAACTCCGAGACGATGATGGAAAAAATGAAATTTTCCACAGAACGGGCTAACGATGTGGCGAGTAAAATCACCGACTGCGAAGCGAAGAAAAGCGTCTCGAGCCCCCAAATAACGATCAGGAGCAAAGATGGTCAGTACACTTGTCAGTATAAAAATATCGGAATGTCGCGGGAGTCGTAAAGGAGAGAATGATGGCAAATAGGAAAAGGCTGCGCGGGCGAATCGGCGGAAGCGAGACTGTCGAAGAGCGGGAGCAACAACGCGGACATCTGTCGAATCTGTCACATGGGTCACCAGCCCGGGACGAGTACGTCGTCGTCGTCGTCGATGCTGTCGAGCTGCGTCGAGGCCAGATCCTCGTCCTCCGCGAACCTCGACTTGGGCCACTTGGTGTCGGCTTGCAGGTAGACAAACTCGTCGCTGAATCGACCGATCGATCCAGTCCTAAAGTAAATGAGCTCGTGCGTTAGATGCCGCGGCACAGTCGGCCTGGTACACACGAAATGCCTCGAGCGTTGGCTGACCGAGTCCGGGCATCAGCACTGCGAGCTCTGCGGCTACCGCTACGCCACCGTCCGGGTGCCCAAGCACGGCCTGCTCAGGAGCATGATCGGCTGGCTCAAGACGTTCGTCGCCACGCGCCAAGTACTGCCTACGATTCCTTTTAGCGATGATTTATCTTTACCGATAATATATAAGCTCTCGCGGCTGATTGCCATTGACGCGTTGCTAATGCCAAGATGCTGCTGGACTCGCTTTACCTGCTGGTGTCGACTCCGCTGGCCGGCTTCTCCGCCTACGTCTGCATCGTCACCCTCAAAATGATAATGGAGAATCGAATCGGCGACGTGCCTTGGACCGTCATCGCCATGCTGCCGACTTGTTCGCTCACGCTCTTTGCCTACTGGGGCTGGCTCACCACCCTGCACAGGTATCCCCCTTATGCACTTGCTTGGCCCAATTTTTCTCCCTCTTCTTTTCTCGCTTCCTTTTACGTTTCGATCGAACAACAGGATGCACGGCAGACGCTGGCGACAGTACTGGGAGAGTAATTTCGTCGTGCAATTGCTCACCGACATACCCGTGAGGCTCGACAGCGAGGACAACGAGTTCGACCTGGCCAACGACCAACTGCTCTTCGAAGTGCTCTAAACCACTCGCGTTTGCTCACGATTACTCTCTTATATGAAGGGCCAATCTTCCTTCGGCAATCATACGTTTCAGGCTAAATAAATTACAACCGACTGATTCAGCTTGACTCAATCGAGCATTCTAGTTTTTTACTAGCTTTTTTTCTCGCTTTTTTTATAGCGCAACAAATTCGGCTATGGGTAAAGGCCTCATCATAAAGGAGTCATCTTGATTTTGGGAAATACCATGAACCAATGAATAGCGTCTTGACTAGCGTACAACAATTTCTCGGCAATCCAGCGATGGCGTCGGCATTTTTAATAAGCCGGTATAATGACCCTCTATATACAAATACGCACACACACATATAGGCATGGTATATAAGCGGCCACGGACGAAATTGTGAGCGTCGATTCATAAGCTCGGAGCTCGTGTCGCGTGCACGACGCTCGAGAGAGGGAACGACGACCGGCCAAAATAGACCTTCTAAATATATGTGTGCGTTGTTCATTATGATGTGTGCGCGCGAGCTCGTGTCGACGTATTCCTGCGCATTACATTACATTACTGCTGCTACTACTGCCGGCAGTTCCAAGTTTCGAGTCTTTTTGCTCTCTTTTGCACGTCGGAAAGCTCGCGTCTCGTGTAATTTTCAAAGCGTGAAATCGATCGTTTTTCGAGGCGCATTAGCCGAACGGCTCATCGGCCCGATCGCACCAGTCCAGCGTAGTAAGTAGCGTATATAGCGAGTCGAGCGAGAGAGAAAAAGAGACGTAAATCATCGCGGCCAGACGCGTATATTATTTTTGACGGCGGGAACGTTTAATTTTCAACGGCACGCATCAAGTGTAATCGAGCAGGCTACTCTGGACGAGGGAAAAATCTTCGCTCGCGCCCACGATATTTGCTGAGCAAACACGGCCCCGTCGTGCGCACGTACTTTATCGCTCGGTCGCGTCCACCGACCGGCGCAAAAGGACGCAAAAAGAGGCCGAAACCTCGGGCTGTTGTTTTAAGCTCGCTGCCGCTCGGAAAAAGCCATGCAACGAATACAAGTATAAACGCGCAAAACGAGATCTCGCGATCGGCGACTTTGCTCGCGCGCTTATCGTTCCGCCTTTACGTGGAAACAAATTACTCGAATCTGCGGATAAGTTGGACGTTGTATCGTGCACATAAAGTATATACGAAGTTGAAGCGGTCGGGAGTAATAAAGCAGCGGATGCTGTCGACGTGCCGACGAGTCTGCCGAGTGCTCGGAGCGCAGCACGCGAGCGAGCGGACACAAACGAGCGATTTAATTGCATTTCATTAAGGGATGTGTCCTTAATTGTTTGCTCAATTAAAGCCTCGAAGCCGTGTCTCCCTCCAACGGACTTGACGGACGGCTCGACGGAGCACAGCCGGAGCTCTCGCACTCGTCTAGACAAAGGGACGAGTCTGGCCGGCTCGGCCGTGTACCCACACCATGCGTTTTATCTCATCTCGAGCATCGGGGCCTGCTGCTACTGCTCTCGAGACTCTCCTTCGATAAATACGCGTCTCCCGCTTTTGGCGCTCTCTGCAAGTCATTTTAAATACACGCGTGATTTATTTTCATTACTCGCGCTTTTTTAGATTTGCTTCCGATCGATCGATCGAAAGCGGAACTCGCGTGCTCTTTACCTTTTCGATCGTGCAATCGCAGCTGCACATCTGCCGCTTCACGCTATAAAAGTAAAGAGAGTCAGAGGGAGAGAGAGAAAACGTTGGCTGCGTCTCTTGCGCTCGGCGAAATGCAGCCGTCGCCTTGCGGTCTCGCGTCAAAAGCTCGCTGCTACTCACCGAGGGGATTATTTTGGACGGCGAGGCCCCCTTCCTCGCTTGCACTGACGCAGACGTTCACTGCACCGACGCTTACGCATTCAGAATGCAGCGCGGTTATATGCGTCTACGCAGCGAGTAAGAGAGAGAGAGAGACAAGTTTCTCCTTTGCTTTGCGCGCGTGGCCAGACGGAAAAAAGACTCGTGACACTTGTACGCGATATGTACTTGATGGGTTCGCTACAGGACTCGCCGCGCATCGCTGTCCTTTGCTCATTTATAACCATCGTGAATTTCATTACAAGCCGCGAACTTGTTACAAGTCCAAAGACATATTAATCCAAATTCGATTTTTCACTTTATCCCTCTAGTCCAGAGAATATCCAATTACTTCGTTAACTCAAATTATATCATTTCCTTGTACATCGAAATTTCTCCCGATAGCTATATACACACACGAATGAACTGCAAATGTACACATAAAAATGCACAAATCTATTGTACATTGCTCATTTTAATAATTTGCATACAGTTCCGAGAAGTATTGTCTGCAGTAGCGAAGAATAATTGATTCACGCAAAGAATCTCCGATGGATTAGAGAAGAAATTACAATGGGCACTGCAAGTACAAAGACCAAGGATCATGGCATGAAATCGCGCTCCTCTGTGTTTACCATGTCTCTTGTCTCGTTTATCTTTACCAATTAGGTGAGCTATCGGTGGCACGAGCTTTGAGCAAGCCGAACTGCCTGTACGAGCCGCAGCCGACGTGTATATGTGCCGATGAGCTTGAGGTCCGGCACGCGCCGCGATTATACGAGCGGAAGTAGATGAGCATCTTCCGAGGAAGCAGTTGGGCCGATTTCGGAACAGGAAAACGTGCTCGAGACCAAATCGGCCAAGATTAATGCATCTTCTCTCTCGGTCTCGCTTGCCTGCGTTATTATCAATTAAGTCGCGCGCGCACGTACATCGGCCATACGCATTTGCCGCGCACTCCTGCTACTCGACGAACGCCTCTGCACGCTGGCTAATAATACGACGCCGAGCCTTTTTGACTCTTTGTCTTTTTGCCCTGAGCCTTTGAGCCTTTGAGCCTTTGACCGCTGCAATCACCTACCGAGTCGCGGATCTTCGGATCTCCTACTCCCTGAGAAAACTCGATTAATTTTGACTACTCGCTTCCGCTGGATTATCATTTCAAGTCAAAACTGACAGTCTTTTTCCAACAAATAACATTGTCATATTGATGCCAGATCAGTATCCGTACTTTAATACGTTTGAATTATGAAAAACTCGAGCCTTGATCGTAAATACGCGACTTAAACTGTCGGCTTTCCTTCTTATTATCCCTTTCTCTCTCACACTTTCAGAACGCGCAATTGCACTTATCTAGACTAGCGATTTATTTCAAAGCATAATTTTGCGAATTTTAAAAAATACGTGGACTGATCCATATTTTATTATCATTCTCACCCACGGCTCATCCAGGCGACTCACAAGACTCGCAAAAATTCGATAGCAAGGCAACGATCGCATTTTAAACAAGCTTCATTACTGCCTTACAGAATCGTAAGGTTTTTTATTAAAAAAATGAAAAATTCCTTCAAGAAGATAATGCGGACCAATTTTTTTAAAGTGAGGAGCGGAAATGTAGATGAAATGCTAACGAATCGTGTTACGAATTGATCTTCACAGTTCCTATGGGCCACAAAATTCTCCGAACTCAGTCACAGTAATATGATTCTTTAGTCAAAACTTAGACTAGATCAACTACTACGTGATAAAGATGCATTTAATTTTATTCCATTTATACTTAGATTCGATCATTACACAAATTATTAAGAAAAACATTTTATTGTAAGAAACCACTGATCGCTCATCATTGAATACAAGTGTATTCCTCAGTAAAATTATCAGATATATTTTTTCGTTGAGAAACGTATATATTTTATCATGTGATTTTTGAAAGATTCTCTTCATTACATCAGAATAGTTGAAATTAATTTCTGTTTTAAATTATTTGGACATACTATAACTTCAAAATCATGTTAGGAAATTTAATTAGTAACATTGTGAGTAATTTTATTATTTAACATTATCATTTTATATGTACTCATCACTCATGTTAACTACGTTTTCATGAAAAAATAACGCGTGGAAAAATAAGTCAAAAATAGGGTCTCTTGGTATCAGACGGGTTAACTTGGTTTTTAGTTTTTGGGTAAAATTTTTGCTCACTTTCCTTTGTATTTTAAAAAGTTTTCTTTATGTTTTTGCGCTTATTGTATATTTATAAAAAAGAGAACTAATTGAGTTACACCACCCATTCACAAATTTTGCTGATTTTTTCGGACATTCATATGCATAATATTCATCTCTAGAGTAATGATCAGGTTTATTTAGTGCTATAGATAAGCAATCGCGTCCGTTTATACATACAATAAATAATCAATCGTGCAAAGGGCTTTTCGAAGACAAACTACGGGTTCTATCGCTTACTACTGGTATCTCTTTGTAATATTCGTTTTCAATTGTAATAATTGTTTTATACATTGAGGGGTCCTCCCTCCTCCAAATTGAAAAAAATGTTTTTTCAATGATTTTTTTTAATATAATAAAATGACGCATCTTAATGAAACTTTTTATACATCCTTTATTGACCTTATACTACATTAAAAAATATTTTTATAATTTTTTGCCACCTGCTCTGTGTCGTCTACTAAAATTATTTCAAATAACACGAAAAAACCGCGGCGGGAACGATTGAGAAAAAACCATTAATTTTATCACCCTGAAATTTTAAAACAATAATCTACCCACGTTACTGCTCAGAATGAACTAGAATGAAAATCATTCGTTAAAAAATAAAGAAATGGCGATGTTTTTTTGAAAATCGAACTTTTTTTCGAAAATTGTTTATATCTCCAAAAAATATTATTCCGAATTTTTCCATTCTAGTTCATTCTGAGCAGTAACATGGGCAGATTATTGTGTTGAAATTTCATAGTGATAAAATTAATGGTTTTTTCTTAATCATTTTTGCTGCGATTTTTTCTTGTTTTTTTGAAATAATTTTAGCAGAAGACGCTGGGTGGTAAAAAATTATATAAAAATTTTTTTATGTAGTATAAGGTCAATAAAGTATGTATAAAAAGTTTCATTAAGATATGTTGGTTTATTCTATTACAAATAAATCTTTGAAAAAAATTTTTTTC